TGATGAGAAGAACAGAGAGAAGCAATGAGCAAATACCAAGCTCCGTGCAAGTAAGTCAAGTATATGAGTGACAAAGAGAGCCACAAGATCGCCATTCCTTTAGCTTTCAACTTGAAGAAACACCTAAACCCATTTGCAATCACAGTGGAAGCCGCGAAAACGAAGCTGAGAATAGGCAAATTTCCACGGAAGTTCCTCCATTGAGCGTCGGATACATCATTCCGGCGATTAGGAATTAGCCAGCCAGGAGCCAAACCACGGAGTTTGAAGTAGTGATCTAAAAAGTTTCGAAATCCCATTCATCAAATCGTGTGATTTTGATGGATTTAGAGACGAAATGATTGTGCGAAATGGAGTTTACCGTGGGAGAGACGAAGCGATGTTCGTAGAATATAGGCGTAGAAGGCGATGGCGTAGAAGATGATAAGAATGAACTCTCTCTGTTTCCATTTCGCTTCGTTCATGACTGTTCTTCGATGGAGTTTTTCAAACCCAGAAACAAACCATCAAATCGCAGCTCACGCTTTTGTTGCGATTTTAAATCGAATTCTGCTTCTGTTTGAAATCTGAGATCCGATCGATGGAGGAAGAACAATCCAACTTTCTTTACAGATCAATAAGCTTCTTTTCCGTTTCTCTTCAGTGCCGGAGAAGACTCCGAAATCGTCGAACCTCTCCGGTGATAGGCAGGTCCGGTGGCGATTTGATTGAGGAAGTACACGTGTAAGGGAGTGTGTTTTCAGATGATGACACGTGTATGGGAGAGACGCAATCACTCAAAGAGAAGCTTCGCTTCATGACTTGTTAGCAAAACCAAAATGGGTACATTGTTGTTGGGCTTGTATCACTGCTTTAGTCAAAGGCCTTGTTTTAGTTATTTTAAGGTTAGGTTTTGGTTGGTAACTGTATATAATGTTTTTTTGTGAATAACTCAAAAGATTTACTGATGATTAGTTTTAGTTTTTTTTTGTATTAGAGTTATTTTTTTTGTAAAATAGGTCAATCATTAGAAAATGGGATGTATTAGAGTTCAAATTAGCAATTTTCTTTTCCCTATATTTTTTTTTTTTAATTACCAAGAGGTTTTCGACCAAAACATGTATCTCCAGACCCGGAACTACAAGATCCATCCTAAATGGCACTCAATCAATTGACTTCTAAATTTTGTATAGGTATTTTTCCAGTTGTTTTGAACATGTACGTAGTATATGTATATATTATTTAGTGTTTTGGATAAATATCATTGCCAAAAAAAACATGTATCTTTAATAATTTATGACCTGTTATTTTCTTACCACATAATTTGTACTGCAACTACTTCACCAATGCTTTTACTGATTTTGAAAGATATGTTTTGTCTCTTCAGTTTAGGATGCTTCCAAATTTTACAAAATTGCAAGCTAAGAGCATCTCCAATGGTCACCCTTAAAATAAAGGGGACACACCTTTAAAATAAGGGGTTTGTAAGTTTTGTTCCAATGGAGACCCTTATCCTTACCCCTTAAAAAAATATTTTTGCATTATAGTCCTTAAAATAACTAGAATCAATTATAATACTAAAACTTTCATAAAATGCAATAAAAACACTTTAATAAAATATTACACAATATTATTAATTAAAACATTACATAATAATATAAAATTACATTAAAACATAAAATTATATATAAAAATATTAAACTAAAATTACAATATTGTTTCCATAATTTTCCAATCAATGAATGTTTTTATTTGATTTTATGTGGTGGTAATTAAATTTCTTATTAGAGAGAGTAAATGTTAAAAAAAATTATAATTTTAGACTAAACTGATCACAAAAAGTATTATAAATGTTATTTGTAAGATTGTATAATTACAAGGACTAAAATGCAAATTCAAAATATTTTTAAGGGGTGAACAGTGACCCCTTATATTTAAGGGTGCACTATTCATCCCTTTAAAATATAAGGGGATAAGGGTCCATTGGAATGCAAAACCCCTTAAATTATAAAGGAATAAGGGTCCATTGGAGATGCTCTAAGTGATTATATTCTTGATGATGGAAATGTATTTTGTCTTAAAAAAACTGTTGAAGAAAGTTTATAGGTGTTTAAGGACTTGCTTGTCAAATTTCACAAATCTTGGGAGATGTTTGAGATGTTCGTCAGAATTTTTCGACGGGCATGTCAACATTTCAGGAGTAGTTGTTGAAGAGCTGAGAAAATTTCTTGAAAGCATGTCATCACTGAAGATGATTGGAGGGAGACTCAAACATAAGTTAAGGATGATTGAAGATAATGAAAGAAAATATATGCTTTGAATAAAGATGACGAAATCAGTAGAAGCATAGACTAACAACAAGATCAATGGTGCGTTATAAAAAAATGCATAAAAAGACTTACAGTGATTTTTTAATGTTCATGTGCGACAATTTTCCTACTTACTATATATAAATTTTATTTTAGTATAAAAGTCGTCATGTGATTCTTTTAGAGTGGACACGAGGTTTAATTCGGATTTTTATATTTATCGGTCCATGTGTTCGAGATTAAAAATGCCCCCACACGCTTTAATTGTCTTTGTATCACTTTACACCCTTGAAACAAATAACAATGGATCAAAACAGAAAAAAATAAAATTTAAAACAGGTAAGAAACTTTTTATCGCAAGAAGATTGCTAAACAGAAGCGTCGAATTTACGTAACAACAGTTGGCGGCCTCCAGCATTGGGGCGCAAGGGAAGTCCTTGTTAAGCTATCTGGATTCTAGGATCATAGTGGCATGGTGTAAATGTCACCAAACATTTGGTGAGGTAAAAGATTTTCAAACAAATTTTAGTCATGATAAAATATTTGAACTAATGAAATATTGGCAAATGTCTTTTGGATTTTCAAGGAGTTCTCAAAAATTCTAATTTGAGAACCCCTTCCTAATCTCTCATGTTTTATTTTTTATTTTTTATTTTTTATTGTCGACATATTAAGTATGGGTACGAGGTCAAATCTCAAATCTGATGAAGAAGCTAGTACTACCCTCGCAACAAGATCTTGATCATCTCCGACGCAGATTTATCTTTGGAGAACGTTTTGCCGTTCCTATTGACGGCGATGGAAAATATGCACTCTTCTCTCACGGAATCAGAGAATAGAAGGGATTTCGGTATCCACTAGTTTGTCTTTCTACAAAACCGTGATCCCATTTTTCCCTCCTTGGTTGTAGCCGAGACCGGCTGGCCCAGGCCTTTTGAGTTATGTTTCTTTTAAGCCAAGTAAAGAGGAAAAGGCAAAGGAGGATGTGTCTTGCATCCGAGGGATTCATCTCCAAAATAAAGAAGTGGTTTTTAGCAAAACCAAACGAAGTTGGAAAGTTGTCTCTTTGTGATGATGCTTTGTCTGTTGAAATATTTTTGAGAGAGCACTAAAAATGCTCTAACCTCCTACCCAGAACAAAGTGAAAGATAGTAAACTCAAATCATAGAATTTCAATTTCATAAGCAAATTCATAAGATCACATATATGTTAATATTGTACAGGTCAAACCTAGATAGAGCCACACCATACTAAGACCACCTCTATCGCTATACTTAAGGAAATGTTTTTTTTTTTTTTTGCATTAGAGTTTGATTTATAGTATGTTATGAACTTATTATTAAATTAAAATTTTGAGCTATAATTTTTGTAAAATAGGTCAATCATAGAAAATGGGATAGATTAGAGTTTGAGTTAGGAAATTTTAAATTTCTGTTTTCCCACGTTTTTTTTGTTTTGTTATTTGTTAATTTCATTCTAAATAATTATAAATTTCCCCCACTTCATAAACTATATTTTTTTTTTGATAACTCTGGTATCCGGGCAGCCACATTCCCGACTATCCCCACAAGTGGGATCCAGCGCCCCAACGGAAGGGATGTTAAATCCGTTGTGGCCGGGACTCAAACCCAGATGGCGGGTACCTCAGCTGAGGGTCTTTTACCACCGGGCCACAAGCGCCGGTTTCATAAACTATATTTGTATACAATAAATTATATATTATTTAGTGTTTTACCAAAATGCATGCACATCGAATAACTTGTATCTTAGTTGTAATACTACATGTCACCAATGTCCTTACCGGTTTTGCAAGATATGGGTTTGTCTCTTTAATTTAAGATGCTTCGGAATTTTTAAAATTTGCAAGTGATAATATTCTTGGTGATGTATTTTGTTTCAAAAAACTGTTGAATAAAGTGGATAGGTGTTTTAGGACATGCGTGTCAAATTTCCCAAATCTTGGGAGATGTTTGAGATGTTTGTACCAGAGCTACTCAATAGGCGTTGAGAGAGTACAGTAAGATGTTATAAATTGCTGAAAAAAAGGCAAGGAGATGAAAATTGTTTGACACAACATCTAGAACTAAAGGAGAAGAAGGAGAAGCGAAGGTAGTAGAAGTAAGTTAAGATAATGTAGGAGGCTGATTGAAGATAATGAAATCAGTATAAGCATAAACTAATAACAAGATCGATGGTGCGTTATAAACATGTATAAAAAGACTACCCATTTTCAAATGATCATGTGCATAAACTTAATTTTAATATAAAAGTCTGTCATGTGATTCTTTTAGAGTGGACACGAGGTTTAATTCTGACTTTTATATCCATGTGTGGTTCGACATTAAAAATGCCCCCACATACTTCAATTTTCTTTGTACCAGTTTACACTCAAAGCCTTAAACCCTTGAAACAAGAACCAAGAAACAAGTAGCTCGTAGATTCATTGATTGTATAATCTAAAAGTCCAATCTGCAGACGAGACTATTATGATCCGGCAGAAACATTTAACCATAAAATAGAGTTAAAATATTAGAGACTTTTTAGATACCAGTAGCTTAAGATTATCAAATAATAATCCCCTTAACTATTTGCATAAGATAAACTAATTAAACTTTCCTCTTCCCTTTCTTTGGATCTTTTTTAAACACCAAAGAACCAAACTTGGTTAAGTCATAAACCCAAAAGTGAAAAATGGTTAGAAAAACAACCAAATCAATAATCTCTGCGACTCTGCAAAGAATCCTCCAAATCAAGATCAACACCAACACGATTCCTTATCGATGCATTCGCGTGGCAAGAAGCAGACCAAGAAGAAGACGAAGAAGTCATCTTCCACTTCCTCTCAAGCTCCTTAAACCTCTCAACATCAAACTTACGGCTCTTGAGCAGCTTCCTCTGCCTCGACAAAAACAACCTCTTCATGAAATCTTGATAAGTCGGGTCTCTCGAAGTCAGCAAGAAGTAAGCATAACCAACAATGATCCCTGTCGCTGTCGTGAAGAACGTGATCGGCTCCATCACATCCCACGAAAACTCCCAGAATGTTAGTCTGATGAAAAGTCCGATTTGCACAACAGAGTAACCAAGACCGCACCACAGAATCTTCCTCACTTGCTGATGAGCCAACACATCAATCTCTTCCTTCATACACCTAAGCTTATCAAACTCAATCTTAATCGGATCATCCTCCGGATTCAACCCTAAAGGCACCGCCTTTCTTATCAAATCCACCACCTGCAACAAAACCCACATATCAAGAACCGATTTTTAACAAAACCCACAAATCAAGAACCGATTTTTAACAAAACCCACAAATCAAGAACCAATTTTTAAGAGAAATCAAGGGTTTTTAGGAATTTTTGTGACAGACCTTATCTGGATGAAGATAGACTTTATCTCGGAAAATCAAGATCACACCAGCATCATCAAGAACACGAGCGAAAGCGTGAGCTTCATTGAGAGATCTAGTGATGCCTAAGCTCTGAGACGCTTCAACGAGTGTATTGTAAGAGACAACTTCTTTATCCGCCATACCAACAAGCTTCTTCTTCATCTCATCAACGTTCACTAACCTCATTAGCTTCTTCGCTTCCGTTACCGTTATATCATCTTCCTTCTTCTCCTTCTCCGCCGTCACCGCCGTTGGTTCGACGGTGAGACACCTGCAACCGCCGAGCAATGGCCTAACCGGATGATAACCTTTCGTTACGGTGGAAAACGCCGTACGTCGCACCAAACCCATCACCGACCACATGATTTTAAAACGATGGACCCACGAATTCGATTGAAATCAGATCTGGATTTTTTTGTGGGGTTTGAAGAAGAAGAAGAAGAACAGAGGATTAAAATCTGTGGAAGAGAGAAAAGGTGTGAGATTCGATTCTGACGCAGAGTGTAAATGCGCTCCACCAGGAACGTGGAGGGTCAAAAATAGTAATGCGTTTAAGAGGAGGGATGAAGAAGCTGAAAGTTGCTTACTTTCTGGAATTAGAAAAGTTTGGTCGACATTGTTGACTGACTAGCCCAAGCCATGGCTTTTCGAAATCCCTAAATCCATTTTTTCGTTTTATGGAGAAGTTCGAGAAGCTATAGGGATGAGGAAAAAAATCCAAAAAGGAAAATATGATTTGGTTCGGTTTAGGTTAACCGAAGAAATTGCTCGGTCGAGACTGGTTTTGCCTTTTTTTGATGATTGATTCCTTTTACGTGTCGTATAAAGAGAAGAGGAAAGTGTTAACTTTCCCAAATTCTCTCAAAATACACTAATTTGTTTCCAAAAAAAAACAGAGAGTGAAAAATAGCAATATCTCCACAAAATTCTTGAAAACAAAATTATAAGTTTTGGTTTGTGTGGTTCAGTTTTGCATTTTTTTTTTTTTTTTTAATTCCTTTTGTTACTTTTGTTAGTTGTAATAGAAAGAGGAGAGAAATTTTAAATACACTCATTATGAGAAAAAAAAAATATGAAGCTTGTGAAACCTAATACAAATATATATCCTATTGTGATAATGATTAGGAGAATTTACATTATTTGGTATTATCTTTTCAATTATATTTGACTAAACGCAAAAGAGAAAAGTGGTGAATCTATATATATATATAGGAAGATGACTCAAAGATAATCTGCAAAAATATTGTGTAAAACTAACCAAAGTGTGATTAGGGAAAAAAAACATGGGTAAACGAAAACGTCCAGAGCCGGAATCATTAGAGTTGAGAATAGGGACCAACTTCGAAGGTTTGAAAAATATCTGTGTGGGGATTCTGGAGGATTACAAGAACAAAGTTGTTACGCATGATTTTATATGTAGTTATTTCGAAAGGGCCAACGACTTGAGCAGAGAGCAGACGGAGGAGTTACTCAAGAACTTGGTTTTGGATAATGTCATCATGGAGGTGAAGAGGAAGAGCAATGGTCTCCATGAATATAAACTGACCGGTAAAAAAACCGGTGGTGGTGAAGCAAGAGCTGGAGCTTTAGCATCGGTGCCTTGCGGGGCTTGTCCTCATATAGGAATATGTTCACCCGACGGAGCTATCTCTCCGACTACATGTACTTATTTCCAAAAATGGTTAGACTTTTAGCTTCTTATTATTGTATATAAGTCTAGATTCTAGACTTAAGAAGATGTTACAATACAATAAACGAACATGTTTGGTTTCTCTCAGTTTAGTTTATACAAAACAGATTGATATTGATTTATTATTATAAATCTATAAATTAGCATTGAGGATCCGGGAAAAAAAAATTTGCGTAACACAATAAGAGGCAAATCTAGTAATAAGTAATGGCATTGCCGACATAAAAAAAAATGTTGGGTGGTTCTAGATTCACAAGATGGTAGGAGACAAAGGGAATAAGCAAGCATATGGTTGGACAAAGAAAAGTGTTTAGTCACATTCACGTAGTCTCATAAAAACCACATCTTACATAATGTAGGATTCCAAAAATGATCTGGATATGAAGATTTTGTAAGTATGCTTGCAAGTTGTACGTGGAATTTGAAGAGATTTAATAATACTTGAGATGATCATGATATATGAATTTGAAATAAGATACTGATAGACTCAAATCCAACAAAACATATAAATAGGAGGAATGAGAAGAAAAGAGATGAGATACCGAAGAAATTGGAGGTATAGATAAAGAAAGAGAAGAAGAAATTGGGTGATCAAGTTTCTAATGAGCTCTTTACATAGACCAAACGAGACTAAATATGATGTCATAAAACGCAAATAAGCTAAGGTATAGATAAGATTGAAGATGATAGAGATTTCCATTCCACGGACTGTCTTTAAAACCCAAGCAGAACTAGACTATTTTTGTAGGGATGAGTTTTCAACTCTTTAGCATATGTTTAATTTCTTGTACCCAAAATGTATGTGCTGATTGCTTTGCAAAAAGGGCTCGAGCACATGGTTGTTTCTTTTCCTATGTAAGTCATACCGAACTGGAGTGGCTAAACTAGAGACAAACCATGCCACCGGTTACACTTGATTTGTAAAATACTGTATGCATTGTCGACAAAACTAAGAAAATAAGTTTGGACTTGGATATTTTTTGAATTCTGCATGCACAATCAAAGCCTAAGGGTGCATTTGTAGACATGAAAACAAAAATTAGTGTAATAAAGTGAGTAGAATACAAATGAGATGAATAGTGATGACAGAGGAATATGTGTTCCTCTTAAGGGTAGTAGGAGAATAATTTATAGCAGAACTATGAACAAATTTAGTTATTTACAGTGGAACTATTTTTCACTAATTTTTATTCCAAATGTAAGGAATGCTCATCTCTCTATATTTTGTTCCTAAAACTGCAACCATTTTCATCCTTTGTATTTTCATCTTGGCAGTAATGTTAATTTCCAAAATTTTATCAATATCATTTCGTCATTCTTATTGGGAAAATTAACAGATTATCATTTACCAGACTAATTTATTTTTCTTTTTTTTTTTTTTTGTCATTTACCAGCATAAATTATTCTTACCATTTACAAATTTAACTCTCTTAGATGGATAGATTATGAAATTTTGTTGTCATAAATAAATAAATAACACAAACTGTGAAAATTGGTGAAAAACTCTTATTTAATTTTGTCTCATTGGATTCTTATTAAACCGAATTATTATTTTTTTTCTTTTCTCAAAGAGCTTAGTCTAAGCAGTTTGGTCTAAGTATTTGTTCATGGCCTTTTTAATACAGTCAGATTGTTTTACATAATTTGTTTCTTGATTCACTCTTTCTTTCAGTTGATGGCCACGTTTCGTTGGGCCAAAGGTCGCATAGAAACATTACATAGTGCAAATGGTGAGCAATATATAGAGTTAATTTCATTGAATGAGAAACTGGTGCAAGAAACCGAGAAACACCGCTAGAGAGATGGTGATACCATTACTGAGCTGGAGAAACAGTTGTGCGAGAAATCAAGGATACGGAAGCAAGAAGCAAAGTATGTTCAGTTTTCTTTGCTATTGAAGGCTGTTGAAATTATTTGTCTAGCCAAAACTCAATGTTGTATCTCTTCTTGTCTACAAAAATGTCACACCAAAACCTCATATTTCATCTTGGTAGTAATGTTAATTTCCAAACTTTTATCAATAGCATTTTGTCATTACTATTAGCAAAATTAACAGATTATCATTTAAAAGACCAACTTCTTTTTCTTTTATTTTTTTGTCATTTACCAGCATAAATTATTATTCTTACCATTTACAAATTTAACTCTCTTAGATTGATAGATTATGAATTTTGTTGCAAAAAATAAATAAATAACACAAACTGTGAAAATTGGTGAACAGCTCTCTCTCATCGGACTTCCTTGTTTAACCGGTTTAATTTTGTTTTTTTATTATTTTTTAAAGAGCTTCGTCGAATTTTTTGAAATTGATTGATGCAACAGAAGATTGTAAATCTCGTTAACGAGAAAGGAGATCTGAGTCTCTGACTTCAGCGATTCCACGAAATACAATCGAAAAAAGCTCGAAGAAGAAGAAGAAGATGCAGAGTCACTTTCCGACGACGCTCTTACTCTCGACTCTCTTTCTTTTTCTGGCGCCGGAGCTAACTCCAGTCTGTGAAGCCGTGTGGCTCAACGTGCCTACGCTCGGAACAAAGTGCGTCTCGGAGGAAATCCAGAGCAACATCGTCGTTTTGGCCGATTACCTCGTCATCTCCGACGAACATTCCGTCTTCCCTTCTCTCTCCGTCAAGGTAAATAATTATATCTTAGTGTTTTTCAATTCTAGATTCCAATCATTTGATTTTGACTCTGTGATTCGAATCTGGACTTTTGAGCTTCGATCCGTTATCAACTTTAGGAATATTTCATGTGTATGATCACTGAAGACCACATTACTTTCTAAAAATTGTTCATATCTCACATTGATATTGAAATTTGATGCTCGATTTCAAGTCTCCTTATTTTGAAGATTGTGCTCATGATGTAAAATTAAGGCGTTGCGTGTCTTTATTGGATCGTTATAGTTGTGCATTCAATTGTTACTAATTAGAGATGGCCGTTTAAGCAAAGTCCAGAAATAGTCTCTCTATAAGTGAAAGATTTAAACTTTATGGAGTGAAACTAAACCATCTCAAGTAGCTGATTCACAGGAAAAGAAAATCTTGATGTGTGGTGAAAGATTGTTATGCAAATTTGATAAGAAAAATAGTTTGGCACATATTGGTATGTGAATATTATTTGCTTTAGTTCTGGATCGTAAGCACTTATTAATCTGTGATGAGAGAGTTATACAAATGTGATTAGAAAAACAGATTGGTGCAAATCGTTATGTGCATGTTATTTGCTTAGTTCTGGATCTTAAGCACTTATAACTCTGTGATGAAAGATCGTTATATAAATGTGATAAGAGAAACAGATTGGATCAAATCGTAAAGTGAATGTTGTTTGCTTAGTTCTGGATCTTAAGCATTTATATGTGATTGAATGGTGAGAAAAAAATATGAGCATTTCGAGTACTATACCCATATGTTTGTGAGCATTGTACGTCAACATATTTCTCGATGTTAGCTTGGTATGTTAATGAAGTGTGTGATCAAAAGAGTAGTGTGTGTGGAACCTTTACAATCTAAAGTTCTCTATATGCTTGCAAAGATGAATCATATACTTATTTATCTTCTCCACTTACTATTACAACGGTTTTTATCTCACATGTGATACAAGGACAGTGCACACAGTTTCTATATGAGGAATCTTAACTCCTTGAAGAGGAAAGTGACAAGAACTTCTGTGTTGTGTTGTGTTGTGATGCAGGTTACATCACCATATGGCAGCGTCTTGCACCAGAGCGAAAACTCAACGCACGGTCAGTTTGCGTTTACAACGCAAGAATCAGGAACCTACTTGGCTTGTTTCGAGGTGATCGGAGATCATCATGGCAAGAAAGATATTAGCATCAACCTCGACTGGAAAACCGGAATCGGAGCTAAAGATTGGGACTCCATTGCAAGAAAAGAGAAAATCGAGGTCAGCACAACAAAATTTACTTTAACAAATCTTTAAAGTCTAAGTCTTTATATGACACGCGATTATGATTTCACTCTTAGGGTGTGGATCTTGAGCTTAAGAAACTTGAAGCAGCTATTGAAGCCATCCATGAGAATCTACTTTACCTCAGAAACAAGTAAAAAATCTTGATTTACCGCTGGCTACATTCTTTTGAGAATCTTGAAAAGTACTCAAGAACACTCTTTTTTTTAATCTTTCTCTGTTTCTCTACACTTGCAGAGAAGCGGATATGAGGATTATGAGTGAGAAAACGAACTCGCGAGTCGCGTGGTACAGTATAATGTCTCTAGGCATCTGCATTGTGGCTTCTGGTTTGCAGATTGTGTACTTGAAGCAGTACTTTCAAAGGAAGAAGCTTATTTAGATCATAGAGTTGATTAAATGGCATGAAATGGATAACTTTCCGATGCTTTTCTTTCTTTCTTTTTGAACTTTTTAGTGTAAAATTTTGTTCACTCTCATTGAATCTCTGATTAGATATGTTATATAACTAGACTCAAATAAGCTCCATCTGAGCTAAACTCACTAGGAGAAATGAAATTGTTTTTCTTTGGAATAACTTTTTTGAGCTCAATTGGTGGGATAACGGAGAGTTTTGGGGTTTATTTGAACTACATACAAACTTTGTTTCCAAATCTCATAATTTGTTAAAATGTAAGGGTTTTCTGTAATTGGAAAAGCAAGTACACTCCTTCTTAGTTCAATAATCTGAATCTGAACTACTACATTCCAGTGAGAGAAATGAAATTTTTTTCTTTGGAATAACGTTTTGAGTTCTATCGAGCTCAATTGGTGGGAAAACTGAAAGACTTTGGGTTTATTTGAACAACATAAGAACTTTGTGTCCAAATCTCATATTTTGTAAGAATGCATGTGTTTTCTGTAATTGACAATATACGTACCCTCCTTCAAAGTTAATTAATCTGAATCTGCACTAAAAAATCTCATATTTTGCTTTTCTTGTTCTAAATAACCTATTTTGTTCTCATTTGGTGGTAAAACGAAGAAAGGCTTGGTTAATTTTGAACAACATACAAACTTTGTGCCCAAATCGCATAATTTATAAGAGTGTAGGGTTTCTTTTATAATTTACAAAACAATCTCCTTCCAATTTTTTCTCTCACAATCGATCATGGGTTATTTAACAGATAAGGTTTTTTAATCAATGGCCCAATAGGCCCATTTCAACAAACCCTAGTCTCCTTATAACATTCGTTCTTTATCTTCCTCCGTCTCTTCTAGGGTTTCAGCCACCAGACACAGAGAGAGAGGAGCAAAAATGCCGGCGGGACACGGAGTGAGGGCGAGAACTCGGGATCTCTTCGCGAGACCGTTCAGGAAGAAGGGTTACATCGCACTCTCCACTTACCTCAGGACCTTCAAAGTCGGCGATTACGTCGATGTCAAGGTTAACGGAGCTATCCACAAGGGTATGCCTCACAAGTTCTATCATGGACGTACCGGCCGAATCTGGAACGTCACCAAGCGCGCCGTTGGTGTCGAAATCAACAAACAGGTCTGTAAATGTTGACTCGTTTTTGTGAAGTTTTGATTTGGTTTGCGTTCGGATTGTGATTCGTTACTGTTTGAGAAAGTGTTGGTTTTTCAATTAGGGTTAGATTGGATTGTGATTCCTTGATAAGGGTTAATTGTTTCTTGTGGAGCTATGGAATAAAAATGTCGAAATGTGCGATTTTGTATTGGTTTCATTGTCAACGTTTTGATTTATTTTGCGTTCGTATTGAGATTCATGACTGTTTGAGAAAGTTTTGATCTTTCAATTAGGGTTGGATTGGATTGTGTTTCCTTGATATTTGTTTAATTGGTTCATGTCGAGTTATCTGTTACAATGTGGAAATGTGCGATTTTGTTTTGGTTTAGAGGATTAATGTATTTTTCTGAATTGTAAATGCTACTTTATCTTGAAATGGATATGGTTTTGCTGTTTGTATTAGTTGCTCAATCCACAATGATTGATAAATTAGTGTTAGAACAGATTGGATTGTGATTCCTTGATTTGGGATTAATTGGAATGTGCTATTGTTTATTGGTTCATAGGATTCAAGTACATTCTGAATTGTGATATGATTTGGTTTACTGATTGTTTGATTTTGACTTCTCTGTCTTTGTTCTTGACGAAATGTAATCTCATGTAAAACTAACTTTTTGTGTGTGGCTTATGTGTTTAGATTGGGAACAGAATCATAAGGAAGAGAATCCATGCACGTGTGGAGCACGTGCAGCTATCAAGATGTGACGAGGAGTTTAAGCTGAGGAAGAAGAAGAACGATGAGCTCAAGGCTGCAGCTAAAGCGAGAGGAGAGACCATCAGCACCAAGAGACAACCCAAAGGTCCCAAACCAGGTTTCATGGTCGAAGGTATGACCTTGGAGACTGTCACTCCCATCCCCTACGATGTCGTCAACGATCTCAAGGGCGGTTACTAAGTCTTGTCAATTTCCAATTCTCAACCTCGGAAACTTTTTGCTGCTTTTTGTTTTCTGAGTTTTCTCCTCTTAGTAGTAAAACCTCTGTCTATGACAAAGACTATGTAATGATCTTTATGATCATGTTGGATTTGTTCAAAACCAGATTTTACAAAGGAAGTTATCATAATCATTTGCCTACATTCATTTCTCTCAAATCTTTCAACTTATGGAAGTTTATGTTCCTTGCTCTGTTTTTCGGATTTCTTTTAGAATTTCATCAGGATCAAAGAAATTCTTACTCTTAATTTAACTGGTTTAGCTGAAAATTATTGATTTTTTCTATTGCAACCTAAGAAAATCATAGTCTGCTTAACTGGTGCTTTATGAAATTTCTTCCATGAGTTTCTTGTTCATGCCGTATTATGCTTTATTATGGCATATAACTTTTAAAGAAAATATGCATTTTGTTTTGGTAATCGTGTATGGCTTGCATTTAAAATAAACCTTTTAAAAAGTGGTAATCATGAGACTTTTTATCTTCAGAATTATTAAGTTTAAAATTGAAAATACAATGCCGTTCAATAGCACCAATCAAAACGCATGCATGAGAACTTGAAAAGACACTAATTAATTCAATTAACTTTTTTGGTTTTGTTTAGTTAATTAAACTCCATAAATTCACTTGCAAGATTCGTAATCTCACTTAAGTTTCTCATAAACTCTCTCTAAACCTAAAACCTTTCCTCTTCCTAATTCCTCTCTCTCTCTCTCTCTCTCGCTCTCGTTCTCTCCATTTCACAAAATGGCTAAAAAGCAAAAAAAGCCTGTGGAACAAAACGAGACGGAGCAAGATTTCACGGCGGTGGAAAAATCGGAAGGCAAACAGAAGGAGCTCGTCAAAGCTCCATCATCTTCTCCAACAGCTTCTGCTGCCGCAGATCCAGATTCTATCCCGGAGAACAAGAATGCTGAGACGTCTTCTGCTGTAACCTCACGGAAGACAAAGAAGAAGAAGAAGAAGCAGCAGCTACCGATCGAAGAAGAAGAGCCTGAAGGTACTCATGAGCAAGAGAGGCTCGTTTTCCAAACTCCAACACACTCTCCTTCTCTCGCCATAGCCGAGACTGAGACACAAGAGACGCAAGAGACAGAGAGCAAGAAGAGGCCTCTCGAAGGAGGAAGTCCATCAGCAGGAGACGTTGACACGAAACGGGTCAAAACAGAAGAGAACACAAACTTGCGGTTCCAGAGGGTGTGGACTGAGCAAGACGAGATTGTTCTGTTGCAAGAGATAAAAAGCTTTGGGTCTGATCCCTTGAAGTCAAGGAGTACCTTTTACGATTTGGTGGAGTCCAAGATGAGCTTCAAGTTTACTTTTGATCAAATGGTTTCAAAGATTGAGAATCTGAAAAAGAATTTCAGAAAGAAGGAGAAGCAAAAAAAAGAAGATTTTCCGCACTCCTCACAAGAAGATACTTCATGAAATGGCTAAAGAGATTTGGGGGTCAAGTGTGGAAGAAGAAGAAGAGAAGAAGAAGACTCACGGAGATGAAGGTTGGTTTGAGAAATCCTTTTTACTTGGTTCTATTGCTAGTTTTGGCTTGGGAGAAAAGGGAGTCAAAGAAGGATGGAGTCTTGTTTCAGCGGAGAAGAAGGAGAAGATCAGAGAGGAGTTGAGACTGTCTGTGGCTGAAGAAATCAAGTCAATGATGCGCAAGTCGAGGCTTGTGAGTGAAGCGATGTCTATGATTGCGGATGCTACAAGTTAGGGTTTTTTTTTTTTTTTTTTTTTTTTTTGTGTGGTTGGAAACAACTTTTTATCGGCTTTATTATGTAGTATTTTATTTTGTTCGGCAGTTGCAATCAATCTAAGGATTTAAGCTTTTGTGATGTTTGATTTGAACATGAAATTTTGCCCTCTGTTCTTATGATAACATAACTCAACTTGGAGTGTGTTGTTTTCATTTGTGTTCGGTTCTTCATAATCATTTGCTTATTGCATCCATTTTTGTTTGTAAAACAATTTCTGATGTACTTAGACTTGCATTCACCGGAATTTTTTTGACATTTTATTAGTAGATCAAAAGTAAACAAATACATTGGAGGCACGAAACAACTAATCAAACTATTGGAGCCACAAAACAAACAGAGAATCAAAACAAAATCTCTTTATGCAGTCGTGACTCGTGAAGCGAAGTTTATACAGACCTATCAGTCCAATGGTTTGAATTAGCTACAACAGAGCCAACGTGACCAGCAAGAGCAACCATGGCTGGTGAACTATATCAACTATTAAGCCAAGGATTGGACCTGTCAGCCAAACTACAGAGCCAAACCATATCCATGGCAGAGCCCTTGAGACATAATTTGTTTTAGCCTTCTTTGCAGACTCTTCTCTTCCTTCATCAGATTGAATGGTTAAAACTTTCCCTACTTCCTTGACGACCTTTTTGATCAACTTGGCCTCTGATCTGTGGCATTAAAGAGGAAAATCACTGAGATCCAACTTAATTTTGGCTGGCCCGTTTTCTTAACTAGCCAAAGCATATTTTGAGGCCCGTTTAGAAGTATTATATTTTCCGTATATTTGATCTTAGTACTGCAAAGGGTAGATTAATTTTTTTTTTTGGGGTTAAATTTTATGCTCATATTTTTTTTTTTCAAGGAAGAATTCATAAAAACAAAAAAAAAAGTCAATGTTAAAAAAAGTCAAAAACATCGTTTATTTTAAGATGTACAGCTGGGTAAAAGACACAGTTTTAACGATGAAAAATATCATGTCGTTTATTTACAGAAATAAAAGCAAGAAAGGGCAAAAAAAGTAAAAACAAATTCCTTTTGGAAGAAGATTAAACTTTAAAGCACTTTTTTGGTAAAACTTATGATAGAACCCAACCATGGATTGGTCAAAAGATGTTGTGTCTTAAACAAAAAATTTGTGGAACGGTGAAAGAACATTAATTAGAATAGGTATTTATTTTTGTATTGTTTAGTCTGGATATTTCACAAAATCACTCAAAATTGTTTAACCTGAAAAAGATTTGACTTTGTGTGTTCTCGTCGAACATGTTTTTCCGCCACTTTTTATGCCTCCGTATAGACCATATCTATCCATGTCTAGCTTGCGACGGGTTAACATTAGCCGATCCAGTGTAGTTTTGCGGAAACATGTTCGATCCACAGTATCTAATTTAGTTTTCCATATGGGAAAAATAATCGGATCAACTAAAGCGTTGACTTTTTTTAGCATATCGTAACAAAAAAGTGAAAAACTGTGAAAAGACATAATAAATCTGAAGAATAATGTCACATATCCTGCATGAGAGTCTCTGTTCAAAAATATTACAAACAATTTTGGGATATTATTGTTCCGATTTCGGTGGAACTATGATAAATTAGGGTTTTTCTTGTGTTCAAATGAATAAGAAAAGAGTTTATATTATTATACCTATTGTGATCCAACGTGAAGCCAATCTTGTTTGACACAGCCTTCAAAGCCACTTGCCATTTCTCCATCTCCTCACGGCTGGATTCTTCACTGCGTCTCCAAAACCTGTAGCCAAACACTCCCTTCTGTTTCCTGACATCTTCAGGTCTCACCTTATAGAAAATTGGGATGACAACCATTTCTCCTTTTTCCGCTTGTTCCATAATCGTCCTTAGCTCACTCAAACACCATTTTGATTCTGCATACCTATTCAAAATAATAATTAATGGATCCAAATCTTTAATAGAAAGCGGTAAGCAGTATTGGCATACATAGTTAAAACTGATAAAACATAGATACATATCAGTACAAGAAATAAGATGAAACCGTTTGCAAGATCGCAGATCAAATCTAGGTCAAAGAATGTGGAAAAAGATTGAATACAGAGGATCGATTCAAGACTTCAGGCTCGAAGCTCTGACAACATAGTAGAAGGAAAGGATCGATCAAAGAAGAAGAGGAAAGTGGAAAATGAATTTCTGTTATTTCATTAATTCTCACTTACAACAATACATTTATATAGTTCCGATACATCTGTCTAGTTCAATAACCAATGGATTAGTGTAAACCGGTTCTAATTGTATCTAACTCTAATAGTAACTATTAAAGCATTATATCTTTACCCCTGCAGAAAAACGTTACCAATCAAATTAACCTTACCTTTTTTTTGTTTACAAACATATATATACAAAAAAAATTAGTTGCTATATTGAGCATATATAAGTGGAACTTTACCTTGAGGATAAAATGACCAGCGCGATAGTGGCCTCTTTGATCCTTTTAAAGAGGTGTTTCAGGTCTCTGCCTTTTTGTTCATGTGTATCTATGAAGAAATTGATGTTATGTCTTTCCAAGGCGTCTATAAGGTGACTTGCGAAGCCATAGCGAAGATCCTTGCCCCGGAAGTTAATGAACACTTTAGGTACGTGGCGAGATAGAGTGGCCATCACAGATCTTCAGGACGTATATAATTTGGTTCAAGAAACTTTAAATAAGGATTTTTTTTTCTTACAAAAAAAAAAAAAAAAAGTTGATGTTTGAAATCTCTTCGCTTAGAGGACATATTTAAATGGTTGAGAGTGGGGGGAGAGTATACGAGGACGTGATGAAAAGTATACACGAATTTTATAATCTTTTTTATATCTGAAATTATATCCTTTCCGACTTGAAGCATCCGTGCTCCCTTTTGTTTCCAATAGTGCATTTGCACTGAGCCCCCAAAATGTATTAGTTTATGGAAGCCCCCATTTTTATTGAAGTTACTAGGGGAGACCCGCGCTTCGCGCAGGGACTTATATTGTTATGTTGATTTTATTAATTTTTTCTTAAATTTAAATTAATTCTATGGTTTATTATTCATATTAATGAAATATAATTACTGTTACGTAAAATTTCTGAAAATAAAATATAATTAAGGTTATGCAAAAATTTTGAACCGTCCTTTCTCATTCCACCCATTTTGTTCCTTTTTATCATCATGTTCTTTCCCGTCTCGTTCATCTCGTCACGTGCAATTCCATCTTATCTCATTCTGTTTCATCCCGTTTTGACTTTTCTTCTTTCCGTTCCGTCCCTAAATATTATTAGGGATAAGCAAAATTCTCATCTTTTCCCGTCCCATTATGTTCATTTTCATCCCGTCCTTTCAGTCCTATCTGTCCCGTCTAGTCTCATCCTATCTCATTCTTTTTCTTCCTGTCTCAGTAAATATAATTAGAGTTACATAATATTTCCGAATCGTCTTTTCTCATTTCTCCATTTTGTTCCTTTTTATCATATTTTTTTGTTCCCGACCCGTCCATCAGGTACAGTGCAATCCCATTCTATCTCATTCGGTTCCTTCCCGTTTTGTCCTGTTCCATCATGTTTCTTCTGTTTCTTTTCGTCCCGTTTCTAAATATAATTAGGGATAAGCAAAATTCACGTCTTGTCCCGCCTTATTATGTTCCTTTTCATCCTGTCATGTCCGTCTCGTCCAATCTCATCCTATCTCATTCTGTTTCTTCCATTTCTATCTGTCCTGTAACTAAATATAATAAGGTGTCATATAAGATTCTATAATAAATTAAATAAAAATATAAGTATTTCATTTCAAAACATTAATAAATATAAAGTATGAGAATTTTTTGACAAACCTAATAAAAACAGTGAGAAAATAAATCATTTTTTTTGCTCAATCTAAATTAATAACATAAGATTAAAGGCCCATAAAGCCCATCGGATTTTCTTTAAATCTGTTTGCTGAGGTGGCGAAAATTTGCCTACGCGGCAGTCTCAGAAGAGACCCCAACTGTACTTTATATAGATAGTAACTGTGGGCTACGAAAACCACACTCGAAATTTATAGGTTTTGCAAGGAAGAAACTTAGGAAGATTTAGGGCTAGATTTTGATGTAAGTCGAATGAATCGTAAGCAAGGATTTGGCTAAACGGATTTGTATTAAACGAATGAATTTGGTTACAATGAATTCTCAGAAGAGAGAAAGAACTAAGCTCAAAGGTGAATACAAGGAAAGTATGATAGTAATTAGGTCTAAAGTGATCGGAAGAAGATGTAAAAGATGTCCCCTGATCCGACTGCTGTCAAGCTCCTTTTATAGCTCCAGAATCAGCTACGATCCACCTCCGCGTATCTCGCCACGTGCAGCTAACGATCCCGGTGATCTCGGACCAGACCGGATTTGAAGGAGATCTTCTTTGACTTCGTCTTTCTTCGCGGTGCCGACCTGGTCCTTGATCGAGCTTGAGCTCGTCTTTACGTCGACCGGAATAGCTCGATGGCTGTTAACTGGCTTACGAGGGAGTCGCTTGGTGGGCTCGAGGTCTTCTTGCTGGGCTTGAGTGGGCCTGGACTTCAATCTTGAATCAAGGTAATGGGCCCTTACGGGCTAGATTCCAGGTGTGGAATCTGGGTCCAACAGTAACCTAGTGGCTTTGACATGTTATAACTTATAACAAAGGGCATAACCCAAGTTTGAGTCTACTTTTATACCCTTTTATTTTTTTTTTGTTTGTTTTTTCAAAAAGAAAAATGAAATTACAAAACCAAAACTGGATGAGTATTAAGTTTTTGACTAGAGTGTTATTTTGATTTTTTTTTTTCATTTATTTTATAATTATCTAAATAAAAATAATTCTATTGTAAAGGCCCCATTTTTAAAAATTTGCCATGAGCCCTCTAAACCTTCGCACGGCACTGGAAGCATACAAGAATCATTCCACAGATTATATAAATTATATTATAGCCCCAAGCCCCCAAACAAACAAACAAAGGACTAATTAAAGACTAGATAGAAAGACCAACTGCATTATAAGAGATATAAGAGATAAAGAGACCAACTGCAACTTAGAAAAAAAAAAAACTGCAACTTAGAAAAACAGAATAACAGACAAACACTAATGATTGTCCATCGCGGATGATAGTGACAGAGTGGAGGTTTGAGTGGGAGAAATATATAAGGTTCAACTGAAGAAGCATTAATTTATTATTTATTTAAAAGAATACACGGATTTTTTTATTATATTTTATATCTGAAATGATTTCCACAAATAATACCGCCTTGAAACATACAAGAATCATTCCACAACTTATATAAATTAAGGAATCATTCCATAGATTACATAGATTACAACATGAATCAAACAAAGATACTAGAGAAAAGAGACACAGAAATAAGAGAATATCTCTCTGATTTGAGCACGTCAGCAAACACATATGATTTTTCCATCACGGATGATAGTGACAGAGTGGAGGTTTGAGTAGCAGAAATATATAAGGTTCAACGGAAGAAGCATTAATCTATTATCCCGAAAGTCCACTACCAAATGATTTTGGACTCTAAATAAGTATAGTTTATTTATTGTCAGCGTCGGACGTAGTGGCCTAAAGCAATTTTCATAATTATGTGGGCTTTTCCCAAATTTATTAAATCATTAAATATACTAATTATAAAAATTTAAAGAAACCATATATTTAACGTTTTAAGATGGACTCAAACCCACCACATGAAGAGAAATAAAGAATATCTTATCAATGAGCTAAAACATTTGGTTATGTACTATGGCCTAAAACATTTATATATGGTTATATACATTGGTGGGCTAAATGCCTAAATCCAATGCTTTAACCTTCAATAAGCGGGCACTCTTTATTGACTCAGCTGTCTACATATATTTTTTTCCGCAGCTAGTTGGATTAAGTCCAGAATGTGTAGGGACGGCATCATCATGAATAACTCAGTAAAGAGGATTGAGGACATGAAGACACAGCTGGATAAATTAAGTCCATGCGAAAGCTGATAGTTAAGCTTTGAGTTGCCCTAGAAGAAAAGGAAGCAAAAAACTTAGAATTTTGTGAGGAAGAAGACCGAGACACAAATTTTGTTTACGGAACTAGTAAGCCCAAAAAGGATGTGCTATATGGTAGGTATTGTGTAAAACACGTCAAATATGAATAATAGGCTACAAAAAGATAGATCGACTCTAGAAGTTGAAGATATATATGTTACGTTGTTGGCAAACCCTCGACCAATGCTAACTTTGTTATACGAAATTTTGTTTGTTTTGCGCCCTTCATCCTTGAAAAAAACTACAACAAAAAAAACTGATAATTTGGGCGGTTAATCATCTTAATCTTTCATTTTAATTCTAATGATGAATAGATAAGTAACCTCACTGAACTTCTTTTCTTCTCTAATTTTACAGATCAGAGGCCAAGTTTATCAAGAAGGTCATTAAAGAGGTAGGGAAAGTTTTAACCACTATGTAGTCTGATGAAGAAAGAGAAGATAATTGCATGAAGAAGGTGATAACATATGAAGTCTCAGTGACCAAGCCAAAACCTACGAACAATGCACCAATAAGTCCAACCGCCAAGCCAAAGTTCCAAACCACATGCCCATATCCGATCGAGCCAATGGCTTCATTTGAGATAACTGATGGAGGAGCTTCTACTTAGTTTGGCACCAACTTATTGGGGGTTGTTTCACTTTAGACCCAAAATTGTGGTCAAATGCAAAACTAACCTCCTGTTTTTTTCATTTTAAGTTTGTCCAGTTTTTTCCAATTAATTACGAATGCCATTACTTTTTCGATTGGTAGACCGATATTTAGGTCTACCAGATCTGCTGAAAGACCAAACACCCCTCATCTTCTACACTTAATTGCCAAAATGCCATATCATCAATGTTGACAACCACCATTTTTACCCAATTTGGAGCTGTTAATGCTCGAAAACTCACTTTGGAGCTAGCATTTCTCCTTCTTTCATCTCACAAACTCTTATTCTTCCATTTTCTCTCCATTTTCATCCCAAAAACTTAAAAGAAAACTCAAATCTTGGGTCTTGGCATTTCCAATTGTTTAGCTTACAGTGATGACTGGAACTCGTAATTGAAGTAAATTGAAGTTATCAGCCCTTTCTCCAACGGCCATATAACTTTTCTTTCAAAATTCTAAGAATTTCAGTTTTGGTCTGCGAAGGTAGACTGAAGTGTAGGTCTACCATTACATAGTAGACCTCAGTTTAGGTCTACTGGTCAACGCAGAGTTGACTGTGCCATTTCCTTTGCAAACAAAAAAAATGAGTGGTAGACCTACACTTAGGTCTACTCCACGTGGAGGGTTAGTTTTGCAATTGATTGAGAAAAATGTTTTTTTTGAGGTCTACCTTGTCGGTCTACTCCACGTGGAGGGTTAGTTTTGCAATTGATAGAGGAAAATGTTTTTCGGAGGTCTACCTCTTAGGTCTACCTAAAAAAAAAAGTTGGTTTTGCCGTTGACTCAAGTTTGACTTTCCTCAAAAAGGAGAGATTTTGCGACATTGAGGTCTACCGTGTAGGTCTACCATCGGTAGACCGCAGTTGAGGTCTACTGGTCAACGCAAAAAACTGAGGTCTACCACGGAAGTCTACCCGAGGAAAGTCAAACTTGAGTCAACGGCAAAACAAACTGTTTTCGGTAGGTAGACCTAAGGCGTAGACTAATTCAGAGGTCTACTTTTTTTGGTAGACCGATTGAGAGGTCTACGTTTTCTGGTAGACGTACACGGTAGACCTCGTGTAAAAGTCAACGTTTGGTCAATTGCAAAACTAACCCTCCACGTGTAGTAGACCGACAAGGTAGACCTCCAAAAAAACATTTTTCTCGATCAATTGCAAAACTAACCCTCCACGTGGCCGTCCACGTGGAGTAGACCTAAGTGGAGGTCTACCGTGAACGTCTACTCCGAACGTCTACGTTTTAGGTCTATTATTATGTGTTTTTTAAAATGTCGTTTTCCTTTCAATATATCAAATATTTTGAAATTTTCTCGAACAGTTAGTTGTTTTTATTTGTTTACTTGCTTCTGTGTGAGTTTGAAATGTTCTTTCGGCGTAATTAAGGTTATATTCGGTTTTCTTTTGAATTAGGTACTAGCTTAATTTTTCTGGTAGACCAAATTGTGGGTCTACCTTGTCGGTCTACGCCTTCTGTCTACTAATCCATTTTGTGATCTGGTTTGTTTTTGTTGCAGGTAATGGTTTGTCTAGCTTCCGTTTATGGAAAATGGATGGTGATGGAAGACAAGTCATGGCATTTTGAGATGGATAAAGGAAAAGGAGGGAATGTTCTACTTACGGGATGGTTGTACACATGAGGAGCCTCTTAGAATGGTACAAGCTGACTATATGTTGGATATGGAACCAGACATGGTGGAATTATCTTATCCAATTACATTACCAATGTGATGCTCCATCAAATACCCTCAGACTTTCCTCATATGTACATCACCAACGATGGACAGGTTCATAGCTTGATAGTCAGGGCCGTGCCTATATACAAATAATTGAAACAATAGTTTACGGGCCTGATTTTATCATATAATTAAAGGGTTCATATTTTCTTAACATTAACAATAATTATTTATTAAGTAGAAATAAAATCATGATCCAGATGTTATAACTATTAAAAATATACATTTTAGCTGTAGTTCTATGCTTAAGCTTTGTTTTTTAGTTGTCATTTTTATTTTTTTTATTGTAATTTTTAGTATTAAATCTCTAATTTAACCTCAAATCTAATGATTTTTCTTTTAAAAGCCACTTAGTTTTTAAAGGTATAAAAGAAAATTTAATATACATGTAAAACTCTAAAATGACAAATTAAAACGGAAAGAATATAAATTAGGCCGTTTTTTCTGTCAATGTTTACGGGCTCGATATCTTTGAGAACGGCTCTGTTGATAGAGTTTGCCTACTACATTCATTTCTCTCAAATCTTTCAACTAATTGAGGTTTATGTTTCTTGCTCTGTTTTTTCGGATTTCTTGTAGAATTTCATCAGAATCAAAGATATTCTTACTCTTATAATCTTATTTAACTAATTTAACTGAAAATTATTGTTCTTTTCTTTGCACCTAAGAAAATCATAGTCTGTTTAACTGATCTAATGTTTCAGACTACACGAGCGTATATGAAATTTCTTCCATGAGTTTCTTGTTCATGCCGTATTATGCTTTATTATGGCATATAACTTTTGAAGAAAATATGCATTTTGTTTGGTTATCGTGTATGGCTTGCATTTAAAACTAACCTTTTAAAAAGTGTTATTTAAGAGACTTTTTAGTTCTAGAAATATTGAGTTTAAAAGTGAAAATACAATGCCGTTCAATAGTACCAATCAAAATACATGCATGAGAACTTGAAAAGACACTGTACTTATCACTCCATTAACTTTTTGGTTTAGTTTAATTAATCAAAAACAAATTTAATCTGCATAAATTCACTTGGCGAGATCTCACTTAAATCTCATAAACTCTCTCTAAAACTAAAACCTTTCCTCTTCCTAATTCCTCTCTCTCTCACTCTCGTTCTCTCCATTTCACAAAATGGCTAAAAAGCAAAATAAGCCTGTGGAACAAAACGAGACGGAGCAAGATTTCACGGCGGTGGAAAAATCGGAAGGCAAACAGAAGGAGCTCGTCAAAGCTCCATCATCTTCTCCAACAGCTTCTGCTGCCGCAGATCCAGATTCTATCCCGGAGAACAAGAATGCTGAGACGTCTTCTGCTGTAACCTCACGGAAGACAAAGAAGAAGAAGAAGAAGAAGCAGCTACCGATCCAAGAAGAAGAGCCTGAAGGTACTCATGAGCAACAGAGACTCGTTTTCCAAACTCCAACACAGTCTCCAGAGACTGAGACACAAGAGACAGAGAGCAAGAAGAGGCCTCTCGAAGGAGGAAGCCCATCAGCAGGAGACGTTGACAGGAAACGGGTCAAAACAGAAGAGAACACAAACTTGCGGTTCCAGAGGGTTTGGACTGAGGAGGACGAGATCGTTCTGCTGCAAGAGATAAAAAGCTTTGGGTCTGATCCCTTGAAGTCAAGGAGTACCTTTTACGATTTGGTGGAGTCCAAGATGAGCTTCAAGTTTAGCTTGGATCAAATGGTTTGGAAGATTGAGAATCTGAAAAAGAATTTCAGAGCAAAGGAGAGGCAGAAAAAGAAGATTTTCCACACTCCTCACAATAAGAAGCTTTATGCAATGGCCAAAGAGATCTGGGGATCTATCGTGGAAGAAGAAGAGAAGAAGACTCACGGAGATGAAAGTTGGTTTGAGAAGTCATTTCTTCTAGCTTCGGTTGCAAGCTTTGGTTTGGGAGAAGAGATGGTGAAAGATGTATGGAATTTGGTTTCCGCGGAGAGGAAGGACAAGATTCATGAGGAGTTTAAACTGTTCGTGGCTGATGAAATCAAGACAATGATCCACAAGTCTTGCCTTGTGCGTGAAGCTTTAGCTGCCATTGCTGAAGCTACAAGCTAAGTTTTTAGGTTTTATGGCGTACTTCTTTTGATTTTTATTTTCTGTTTTGCGGTTGGAAAAAACTTTTATTTGCAATTTTATGTTGGCTTAGCTATCGAACGAAGCTTTGTAATGTTTTGTTATTTCAACTTTCAAGGTTCTACTTCGTATGTTTTTCTATTAAACAAGATTGATTCCTGTAGTTTATGAGGATAAACTTTCAGATTTTGTTAGAAGAGACGGTTCTTCAAAATGATCTGCTTATTGCATTTGTTTGTAAAATCATTTTTTATCTAGCAAGGGAAAAATTATTATTTGGAAGTTAATTTATTTTAAACTAGTTAAAATAAAATAAAAGTTAAATAAAATCGCAAATATAGTGTCGTTTGTTGCTCTCCACCAATCAAAATGTATGGAGAATTCGAAAAGACCCTTAATAAAAAGTTAAATAAAATCACAAATATAGTGTCGTGGTGCTCTCCATGCACCAATCAATATGTATGGAGAATTCGAAAAGAATCTTAATTTATCATTTTAATAACCTTTTTGTTTTTAATTTAGCAAGGTAAAAATGATTATTTGGAAATTAATTTATTTAAATTAATGGAAATGCACAAAAAGCTAAAACAAAATCATTATTATAGTGTTTTTTTAGTGTTCTCCATGCACCAATCAAAATGTATGGGGAATTCGAAAAGACCCTTTAATTTTCATTTTACTAACCTTTTTTAGTTTAGTTTTTACTCGTCTGCTTCAGCCAATTGGTTAGCCATTGAAAATCTGGGACCTATAAAAGGTTATTTAGGAGGATGGAGTATTGATGAGACCATAATCAGAGAGTAAACCGACATTATTTCGTGAAGGATATATATTGTAAATATTAAGAACTTGTATATAACTATATTAACCCAAGTCTCTATTATGTATATTTTCTGCAATTATATTCATTTCACTTCAACATCTATATGGTATTAGAGTTTACTTAGTTTTTGTTGGAAAAATCACTTCTAAGTTCTAACTTTTTTCCAGTTGACTTATAATTGCTATATTATAAAAATCAAATTGATTTGTATTTCAACATGTAAATTTTAGTTTAGTGTAAAATGATAAACTAAATATTGTTATTAATATAAAAATGATTTTTCTTTATAAAGAATTAATATAGAAATGATATTTAGTGTTGTTAATAAAAAAAGTTAATATAAATATGATTATTCTAAAAGTTTATATTTAATATTATATATAGTATTAATTATTGTAATATTCGTTAGACAAGGACACAAGGTAATCTTAAAAATATGTCTTTACATAGTTGTTTTTTCCAAAATCACAAAAATAGTTAGAAAGGCCTTAAAAGTTAAAACTTCATAAAATAAACTAGTTTGTATTGCATGCAACAAAGACCAACAAAGACAATCCCAAACATGACGTATTGCATGCAACAAAGACCAAATAATCAAACATTTTCTTTAGGACGTATTGCATGCGGTCTTTGTTCCAAAGACCAAATAATCAAACATTGTTTTTTTAAGTACGTCTGACCACCTTTAACAAAAAGTACTGTTTGACAACATTTATTTTTTCTTTGAAGAAAAACTGACCCCATTTTCCCTTCATTTATTTTTCTTTCGGTTGAATGGGCTGAATATGTTGCGGACAATACACACTCCGTGTGCTCCGTCAATAAACGCGAGGGTTTTTGCGTTAACGTGGAAAAAAAACGCACAAAGAGATGAGGCGGAGCAAGATTCCACGGCGGTGGAAAAATCGAAAGGCAAACAAAAGGTGCTCGTCAAAGCTCCATCATCTTCTCCAACAGCTTCTGCTGCCGCATATCCAGATTCTATCCCGGAGAAGATAGTTTGAGTGGCAGAGTCAAAGAAGAAGAACAAGAAGGCTGTGACGTCATCTGCTGCTGCTGTAACTTCACCAAAGACGAAGACGAAGAAGAAGCTACCGATCCGAGAAGAAGGACGCTTAAGAGACATGAGCCCAAAAGAGAAGCCACCACCAAGCGTGGACGAGGAGAAAGAAGAACCTAAAGGTACTCATGAGAAACTCGTTTTCACAACTCCGACACAATCCCCAGCTGCTTCTCTCGACATAGCTGAGACTGAGACACAAGAGAATGAAGAGACGGCGAGCAAGAAGAGGCCTCAGGAAGAAGGAAGCCCATCAGGAGACGTCAACACCAAACGGGTCAAAGCAGAAGAGAACACAAACTCGCGGTTCCAGTGGAGTGAGGAGGACGAAATCGTTTTGCTGCAAGAGATAAAAACCTTTGGGTCTGATCCCTTGAAGTCAAGGAGTATCTTTTACGATTTGGTGGAGTCCAAGATCAGCTTCCAGTTTACCTTGGATAAACTGAAACAGAAATTCAGAGAGAAGGAGAAGCAAAAAAAGAAGATTTTCCACACACCTCACAATAAGATGCGTTATGAAATGGCTAAAGAGATTTGGGGGTCTATTTTGGAAGAAGAAGAAGAAAAGAAGAAGAATCTGGCGATAAAGACTAACGGAGGTGAAGATTGGTTTGAGAAATCATTTCTTCTTGGTTCTTGTGCTAGCTTTGGTTTGGGAGAAAAAGGAGTGAAAGAAGGGTGGAGTTTGGTCTCGGCGGAGAGGAAGGACAAGATACAAGAGGAGTTGAGACTCTCTGTTGCTGAAGAAATAAGGTCAATGAAGCGCAAGTCTAGCCTTGTGAGTGAAGTCTTATTGCAATTGCTGAAGCTACAAGTTAGGGTTTTTCTAGGTTTTATGGCGTACTTCTTTTGATTTGTTTTATCTATTTTGTTTTGTCTTTTGTGTGGTGAAAACCTTTTATTGGCTATATTATGTAGTAATTTCTGTTGGCTTAGATCGGTTTGGTTTTGTTCGGCAGTTGCAATCAATCTAACGATTTAAGTTTTTGTGAAGTTTGATTTGAACATGAGATTTTGCCCTCTGTTCTTATGATAACAGAATTCAACTCGGAGTATGTTGTTTTCTTATGTGTTTGGTTCTTCATAATCATTTGCTTATTGCATCCATTTGTTTGTAAAATCATTTTTGATGTACTTAGACTTGCTTTCACCGGAAAGATTGAGACTTTTTATTATTAGATCAAAAGTAAACAAATAAATTGGATCCACAAAACAATTAATCAACTACTGGAGCAAAAAAAAAGCAACTAGAGAAGCGAAACAAAATCTCTTTCGGCAGTTGTGAAGTGAAGCTTATACAGACATATCAGTCCAACGGTTCGAAATAACTACAACATGAGGATTACATTACATTATACAGACATATCAGTACAGAGCCAACCTGACCAGCAAAAAATTACATTATGCGAGTGGTCTCAGCTTGAGGATTTTTCTCCAAATCCAGGAGCCTGCATATTGCGTAGCTTTAACAGACCAAAATGACTATGAATCCATTTTACATCTCCACACAATTCTCCACACTAACTTCAAACCACTCACTATATTTGACTCCTTCAGTGGTCTAAGACCCAAACCACCTTCATTTTTTTATAATGTTACCACCAGCCAAGATATCTTAGCTTTGTATGGGTTTAGCTCTGGATTTTTTTTTTTTTTTTTTTTTTTTTTTTTTTTTTTTTTTATAGACCTTATCGGTTTCCGGTTAGCCCCGGAAGGAACGCACCAAGGTGCTACAAAGTGGACTCATCCTAAGAACTACCACACCGCCTATTCCGAGTTTGGAGTGCCTTCCGACTAATGCCAGGGGGTAATCAGGCCGCCTGCATTTCTAATTACCAGGTAAACCAATTGGGCCTAGGCCCAACTGACAGACTTCCCACACAAATGTGATTTTGTTTCCAGGGAAGATCGAACTCGGGTCTGGAAATTTCACCCTTCACCAAGGCTTCCCCTTACCACTGGACCACAAGAGTGCGGGCAAGGTTTAGCTCTGGATGACCAAAGGAAACCCGAGCACATCTTTGAATCTCTCGAATGCATTCACATTTCACCGCTTTACCATGATAACTCTATAAAAAAAATATTACAATAAAAAAACTCTATAAAAATGGTAGGGTATGTATTTATCATTTGGGTGTATTGACAATGGACCATTGACCAAACATTGGTGCAATTCAGTTATATATGTTGTTAATATTATTATAAAATATACAATATCATCAGTTTTGTTGTATATAATGAGGTAAATGATTTTTTTTGCTAAATGGTAAATATCATATAAATGAAGGTTTAAGCTTCACAGTGAGCGAGAGCAGAGTAATTGTTCGTTGCAAAATCAAGGTAGCCAAAGGTGAGATACGTAAGATTGCAGGTCAACGCAACAATAGCGCATCAATTTGTCAATCACCAAAGTCTTACAGATTGTGACAACAAAAATAATATTGGCATTGACTGTTTAACTTTTGCAAAGATTTAATACCATTGGCATTGACTATTTTGACTTCTGCAAAGAAAATTAATACCAAAAGGGAACCTCTGTACGTCATCGATAGCGTCACTTGGGTCAAACAGGTATATCTACCAGTATCTCCCATCATTAAAACGGATGATGCAGACTAAATGCAGTGTATTTGCAAAGTAGTCCATCTGTGTTTATGCTCCCATTCGCATCATTAATATGCACAACTAATAATTAATAATAACAAGAATAAATGTTCTGCATGTGGAATAAAACCTGTGTTAAACTCAAGATTTGTACATAAAAATTGAAACCTTTTTAAAAACCTCAGTTACATGTGCAGTCCATGTATTCTTGTTTGTCTCTCTTCAATTTGCCAATTTGACAATTGCAAACCTGTATTTGCCATTTACCTAAGCCGTTTGCAAGAGATTTAAGAATGTCGGGTAATTGTTCGTTGCAAAATCTTAATTGTGATATTTTTTTTTATAGTTTATATAAAATTAAACTACAAAGTTATAAATTTTTAGATGAACCTTTGTATTGCTAACATAATCAAATAAGCTAGCAATACAAGCAAAACATAATTAAAAAAAAAACAATGACTTTCTTGCTCTTTGTGTGAATCGATTAGGAAGGAATAGAAGCAGAAGTTATTGCAATTCATTAATTAGGGGTTCTTTCTTGATGTGAAAGAAATAAGGGTTTTTTCTTGGAATTTTTTTTTTATTAATTAAATATTTTTTTTTAAAAGGAGTTATCAAGAAGTTTCCCTCCTGCTATAAATAAAATTAAATACTCTCCAATTTGCTGAAACATTCCAAGCAGAGAGATATTTCAAACATCAACTCGTTTTCCTTTAATAAGAAAACAAAGAATCTTATCTAACGATTCTTGAACCAAATTTGGAAAAAGTCTGAGATGGCCACTCTATCTTCCCCCATCCATCAAGATCAAGTGTTCATCAACTTCCGGGGAAAGGATATTCGCCATGGCTTCGCCAGTCACCTTGTAGATGCGTTGAAAAGACATAACATCAAGGTCTTCATAGATACAGATGAACAAAAAGGCAGAGACCTGAAACACCTCTTTAAAAGGATCAAAGAGTCTTCCGTCGCACTGGTCATCTTGTCCACGGGGTAATGTTCCACTTATGCTATCAGTAAAATTACTTTGTTTAAAATATATTTCTAAAGTTACACTAACTAAATGGCTAAAAGTAGGAATATGCAGATATAAGTTTGTGATATGTCTTTTACCTATATTAGTTACTCTAATAATGCTTGCTGCTTTGTATCGCATACCTTACCGTTCTCTCTTCTTGGAAAAAGCCTCTTACTGCTTGGTATCACCAATCGGTTTCGAATAGGTATGCAGAATCAAAGTGGTGTTTGGATGAGCTGAAAGTAATCATGGAACAAGAGGAAAAACGGGAAATGACTGTAATCCCAATCTTCTACAAGGTGAGAACAGGAGATGTTAAGAAACAGAAGGGAGTTTTCGGCAATAGGTTTAGGAGACGCAGTGAAAAATCCAGCCATGAAGAGATGGAAAAATGGCAAGTGGCTTTGAAGGCTGTGTCAAACAAGTTTGGCTTCACGTTGGACAACAATAGGTATATTTTACGAACTCTTTCCTAAGCACACATAAAAAAAACACAAACATATATCCCCAAATTGGTTGAAATACTTTGGAACATAACGCTGATAATATTTTTCAGAATACAGTATATGTCTTTTCTCGGTTTTGTTTTATTGTTTTTTTTGTCTTTCCCATTTTCCTAATACAAACTGAAAATTACATTTCTCTCTCTAAAATAAACGCTCTTCCTTCTCTCTTCACCTGCTTGAAACCCTAGGATCTTGGCCTCTGGTTAAGGCCGTTCCGTGAAATCTGTAGTCGTCTGCTTTTCCCTTTCCGATCTCAGTCCTTGTCGGGATCCTTCAGCAAGTGGTTTGTTGGCTTTAGTTCGAGACGAAAGTCTCCAAGTTCGGTCTAATGGCTCTTTTTGGTTATTTTCTAGTAAGTCAAATTTGCATGGCATTCGATTTGCGGTTCTGGAAGTTTTTAGGTGCTTTTGTTTTTTTTTTGTTAAGTCTTTGAAGCCTTGGCATTACGAAACCGTTCTCTGAAGGTCAGTGAGATTTGTTTTTCTAAAAGTTTGCATGAATTTCATCTGCCTCTTCCACGTCTCTAAATCGGTATCACCCCCAGAAAAACTATTTAGGTGTTTAAGTTATTGTAGATCTAAATATAAGTAATATTTTTAATATGTGTTATATATATTTCGGGTACCCAAAGTAACCAGTTTTGGTTCGGAACCGATATCCAAAATAAACAAGAACCCCATTCGAGTATTTCTGTTATCGAATTCGGTCTAGGATCCTATAGTTTCGATTCTTTACAATTTTTCTTTGTTGAGGCCTAGCCATATATATCTGTAAAAAATTGAAAGTCCTGTGGAAGCCTAGATTTGGTTATGGGGGCAATTTATCATCTTAATCTTTTGTTTTAATTCTAATGGTGGAGATAAAGGTTTCACTGAAAACTTTTCTCTCAAATTTCACAGATCAGAAGCCAAGTTAATCAAGAAGGTCGTTAAGGAGGTAGAAAAAGTTTTAACCACTATTCAATCTGATGAAGAAAGAGAAGAGGGTTGCATGAAGAGCCCATGCTCAAGTTTGAATTATCATCTTTCCTCAAGTTTTATCTTCTTTTTTATATCTTTTTTTGGGCCAATAGTTTTATCCTTATATATTCAATTTATTAGATTTGTTCATTCAAAGAAAAATTATTAGCTTTTTGTTCATCCTAATCGCTTAATGATTTAATCGTTGTTATCAGTGGCCGAGCCAGTGTGTTAGCACGTGGCTCAATTTGTTTGTTTTTTTCTTTTTCTTTTTGTTTGCATAGCTAATTAGTTGAGGTTTTATAGATGATTTGGTTAAATACGAATAAGCATGCCATGACATTGGTTCATATTCTGTTTTTGGAACGTAACAGCTTCAGAAGCCAGCCCGTTCGGAGACACATTATTTACATGGGAAAAGAAACAATCTCCCTCTCGAGCCTCTCGAAGGAGAGGAGGTCAGCACGGACATTCAAAATAGGTGGAATGTAAAGTAAAGAAAAAGAAAGAAAAGTAAAGCGTATAGCATTAAACTCTTCTAACTTTGAGGCCAGTGAGGGCCATTCTTCTTCTTCCTCATATTCAAATCTCCTCGATCTAAATCCTAATTGTCAAACCATTTTTAATTTATCGCCCAGATTAGGGACCGTATTCTGCATGGATTGGTGCGGAGACTTGGCTGATATCCCCCCCCCCCCCCCCCCCCATGATGCATCTATATAATGGGTGCATTTTCCGTTGGTATCATTGGCAGAAGTGTTCTCCTCGAGGATATGTGACAGATTGTGGTAGCGTCCATGCTTTTGTCTCCGTCATTGAAGAATTTATTATTCCAATCTTTCCATATGTACCAAAGTATTCATGGGAATGGGAAGCATGCTAAACTTTTATTGGAGGATCCCCGGAATGTCTGAGAGTGCCCATGTTTGGGCCGCTATAGGGCATTCAAACAGCATATGGTTAATGGTTCCTCCTCAGTTCCACATATGACATATGGGACATAAACGGTCGTACCTCAATATCTCTCAGCTAGACGAGTCTGAACCGGCACACAACCTGCAACCGATTGCCAGGCAAAGTGCTTTTAACTTCATTGATGTCTTGATGGTCCAAATTTTAGCTTTTATGGCGTAAGTACTTGGTTGCAGAATTTGTTGCGGTTTGACTAAAAATATGCATTTAGTTTCCTTATTAATTGTTACATATATTTACTGATTGTAGATATATAACACAACAATTATCTAATGTGGATACCAATTTTTACATTGATTTTTTTTTATATAGAAAATATGTCATAGTTTTTCTTAATTAATATTTTAAAAAATATATATAATGTAGAATTTTAAATCTTTAAAAAAATATATATTTTTATTCGAATTTTTTTTATCATTTACATGGTTTACACTAGTGATATAATTTTTAGTTTTATTTCCATTTTTTTTAAAATAAATAATTTAATATTTAATACAATTATATTAATAATGACCCTGATAACAAATATTTATATATTTATATTTATATGTTTCTTTTTCCAAAAAAATTTCCTCGGGCCATTCTAATTTTTTTTCATTATTAGTTAGATAGGCTATAGTTTATTATATACTAGGGCTGGACCTATGCCCTGCGCGAAGTGAGAAATTTTCAAAGTATATTATTAAATAAATAATTAAATTATTTAAAAGAAATGTAATTTAATAAGTTTTTATATGATAAATGTTCTATTAAAGATTATATTAAACCAAAATTAGTTATAATTTGGGATTGCTTATTAAATCAATCTCTATATATACTCTTATAATTTCTTATTATTGTGGTTCTTTTTATAATAGGTTTATGAATCAACTTACTTCTTCATTTACAAAATGTGACTTTCAAGATATTTGTAATATTTGTTTTATATTAAATTTTAAATGTTTGATCAAAACAAAATTTCTTTAATATTTAGAAATTTGAATCAATTATAATATAATACTCCCTCCGTTTCAAATTAGTTGTCGTTTTGGCAAAATGTATCTGCAAATATTTGGACGTATTTAGACGTGTTTTGCATAGCAGATACGTCCAAATAATTGCAGATACATTTTGTCAAAACGACAACTAATTTGAAACGGAGGGAGTATTTTAAGATTATGACATTTAAATTTTTGTATTTATAATATTTACCTTTTGATAAAAATATTTATAATATTATAAATTTTTATCCAAGTTAAACCATTTCAAATATTTTTATGTTTTGATATAAATACTTTCAACTTTTTCACATCAAAATATTTTTAATATTATAGATACTATTTGGTTTAATTATATGGTTCCATTTCAAAATAAACCAAAAATATTTTAAAGTTGGATGTTTATTAAATCAATTTTCTTAATATTATAATTTCTTATCATTTTATTTTTTATAATAGTCTAGTGAACCACCCACACATCTTTATTTCCAATGTAGGACTTTGAAAAACTAATATTGTTTTATCATTTAATAAATTGATATTTGTTTTTAAAAATTCAAATTACAACTCATAGTAGAAAAAATCTATTTTTATTAATATATATGTGATGTAATAATTTATTTTTTTACAAAATTTAGTCCAACAAAAAAATGAAAGAATAAAATATAGTATTTTTAAAAAGTAATTAATATGATATATTTGTAAGAAATGGAAAGAGTGATAATCTCTTCACAATTAAATGCTGAATTATGTAGAAATATTGATATAACCTATTCTCTAACCAAATTAATGTCAATGGCATAGAATGTAATTAGTCAAGTAATCTTTGTTCTAATTAAAATTTATCTTGAGAATGAACCTAGTGATGACACATCAGCATGACATTTTTGTTAATATCACATGACACAAATGTTATTTTTATGTTTGTCTTCTCTTTTAATATATTAGGGATTATTTTTTTTCATTTTTTTAATGAGAATATGTTTATTTTAGTTTTCTTAGTGGATGTAAAATTAATTAATGTCAATGGCATAGAATGTAATTAGTCAAGTAATCTTTGTTCTAATTAAAATTTATCTTGAGAATGAACCTAGTGATGACACATCAGCATGACATTTTTGTTAATATCACATGACACAAATGTTATTTTTATGTTTGTCTTCTCTTTTAATATATTAGGGATTATTTTTTTTCATTTTTTTAATGAGAATATGTTTATTTTAGTTTTCTTAGTGGATGTAATAATTTATTTTTCAACTATTTGTTTCCTATTTTTCTCATTTCGTTTTTCTTTTCTTTTTCATAATGAGAATATTTTGTTCATAATGAATGTAACATTTTTTCTTTTAGTTCATGTTTTTTTCTGATTTTTCGTTGGTTGTATTTTTTTTTTTCTTATTCCATGACACATGTCATAATTTTATTACTTTGAGATTATAAAAAAAAATATATGTTATGATTCTATGAGTTGTAAAAATCATAGGTGTTATGCCATGCCATATCGCACATCCAGTTTTATATAAAAAGATTATTGTAATATTAGTTAGATAAAGTAATCTTAGAAATATGTCTTTCACATAACTATTTTTCCCAAATAGAAAAAATTGTAAAATGCCTTAAAATTTCATAAAATAAACTAGTTCTAAACAAACAAACAAACAATTCCAAACATGACGTATAGCATGCAACAAAGACCAAATAATCAAACATTTTCTTTGGGACGTATTGCATGCGGTCTTTGTTCCAAAGACCAAATAATCAAACTTTTTTTTTGGATGATATTGGTAAATACGAATGGAAACTTTCAGAATTAAGTTTCTACCCATGACTATTTTTAAATTAGGTAGTTAGGAAAGAGAAATAAAAATTTAACCCTTAATATCTTTTTCATTTTATTTATCTACAAAAATGCCATTGATCTGAAACTGTTCATTTGCCACCGGATTACACTGTTCATCGATCCGTTACACTGTTCATATAAAATCATCGACATTAGTTATCTAAAGATAACTATTTAATTATCATATTAACAAATAAAATATCATAAAATTTGCTAATTTATAATAATATTATATAATTGATATGCTAAATTAGTTAGCACATTATTAAAATACTGTGTTAACCAAATTATCATAATATAAAGTATAAAGATTTTAGGTATCATAATTATCATAGCAAGAGTTATCATGTTAATTAAGTTATCTTATCATAGAAAAATATGAAATTACATGCTAATATAAAAAATATCATGTTAAGGTGATTAGCATATAACTAAAATACCGTGTTAAACAAATTATCATGATATAAAAAAATAAAGTGATTTGATTAATATAATTATCATACCAACAATTATCATGATAACAAAGTTATCATATTATTGAAAAATACGAGATGCAAATATGTATAAAAATATCATGCTAATGTGATTAGCATATTATGAAAATACAGTGATAGACCAGTTACCACCATCATCTTCATCACCTTCAATTGAGTAGCCATTGTTGGCTTCTTCTTCCTCCTCCTCCTCTTCTTCCTCTTTCTTCTCTTCCTCCATTGCTGGCTCTTTTTTTCTCCACCTCGGCTGACATTATGACAAATAATTTGAATTTCCATAGTTTTTAATAAATCCAATTGAAAAAAAAAGAAAACAAATTTGTAATTAAAATCACAGATTTGCAAATAGGAGTTCCATTGGACAACCATTCCGGAGAGAACCCACCATCATCAACATTAGCACCACTGTCTCCGCCTCTCAACACCATCGCCGACATCCTCATCCGCCGCTTTCATCACCGTCATAACCTGGCTCTTCAGTAGAAAATTCATCTCCAACAGTCGCCCCATTTTATGATTCTCTCTCAACTAGTTGCTCCAAATCCTAGCAGGTTGTTTTCTTGTATGAATTCTCCTTCTCCTTCTTCTTTTTATTCTCCGTGAGTCTTCCATGTCCACCGCAGGAGAGAGAAAGAAGAAGAAAAAAAGTTCAACTGTCCACCGCAGGAGAGAGAGAACACAAAAAGGGGTAGAGAGTAATTTGCTGTAAAAAATACTGTAGAAATAGTGTCTCATTTGTGTCAGTTAATTTCAGAAGCATTGATGGGTAGTTTGTGCTATTACTCTTTTTTTTTGATGGTAAGTTCCATCAATTGTCATTTGTTTCATGTCTACGCATCTCTATGTATCGTGAGACCCATATGTCGTTTTTATAGGGTTGTGACCTGCATCTAGTGAAGTGGTGGGACGAGGCTATGATGGAGGAATTCGTTCTCCTGCGACGTGCTACTGACAACCAAGGAGATTGCGTTCGTGTCCTGAGAGTTGCTGATCGGATTGAGGCAGAGCTAGGTGAACTGAAACGCCTAGCTCTTACGGAGAACAAGCGTCACAGGGGAGCGGTACTTCACATCGTCATTGCGCTTGTCGTCCTCCTCGCCGGCATCATCATAGCCTGCGGATGCATGATTATGTTTAGATAAGTTAAGGTGTTTTCTGTGTTCTTGATGTTTGAAAAGATGTTACGGATATGTAATGAAGGATCCCGTTGGATCTAGAAACGTAAAACCCAGAACGGGCTGTATAATATTTGTTGCATTTTCTCGTCTAAACAGCCTACAAATGATGACTTCCAATGTTGAGTGCTAATGTAGACTTCTAAAGTAGACTGTTAATATTGGTTTAAGAAAGTGGTTTACTACGATGTTAATCTACGACCGTACAGTATTATTGCTATAACCATACTAAAACAAGATGTAAACAAGATGTTAATCTACGATCAAGATGTAAATTACCAACGTTACCGTCGAATGTATAGTTTTTATATTAAGATGTAATCTACGAGTGTACATTGTATTCGGAAACTGGAACGTGTTTAAGGAGACTTCCCTTGTTGACTTCATGTGTATACGTCAAGGTGGAGTCAACAAATTGAAATTAGAAAAGCGGGAATAAGCGGGAAGAATTCGCGGGTTTTTGACATTTAGGGTTTTTACCAATTATTTCGCGATCCCGAACCGATAACCGCAGTGATAACCGATAACCGCACCGAGAACCGAAAACTGCACCCATAACCGATAACCCAACCGATAACCGCCCCGATAACCGGTAACCGCTCCTGATAACCGCATTGATAACCGTTCCCCACCGGTCCAAATTTAACTTACTTTCCTCATTTGGTTTCATTCACTTCTTTCAACCCTAAAAAATATTCTCTCATCGACCACGCGATTCCCGACCACTCAAACGCGTGGACGATTCCTGACGACTCAAACGCCGTGGACGCCTATAACTCCGCCGACTGTATTCGTTCGTGCAATCGTATTCAATTATCGCCCTTTGCCTCCCCTCGTTTTTGTACCGAAGTAAGTTACTTTCCTCGGCGACCCTCGATGAACCCTCGTCTTCATCGATTTTGAAAACATATTATTCACTTACATCGGCTCAAATCCTCCTTACTCACGCATTTTCTTTGTTTTGACTTCGTCCGCCGCCGTAATCCGTCCTCCGCCGCCGTCAGTCGTAATACTTGACCATTCCGTCTCCGCCGCTGTTTGTGGCCAGTCCCCCTTGTGGTAGCGAATCGAAGGTAAACAGTCGATTCCCGCTTACAATCGTATGGAGAATTAGGTTGTATTCCTAGGTTTATGAATTAGGTTGTAGATTTCCTTGGTGAACTTCCTCAGTAGACTTCACTGTAGACTTCGTCAGTAGACTTCCTTTGTAAACTTCTAATAATGCTGCAGGATGGAGAAGCCGTCATTTCCTAGAAGGTTTTTCAGCAAAGGTTCCGAGCCTGCATCCGAGAAGAGCATCGGATACTACAGCAACAACACTAAGCTGTTTGAGAGTCTTGTCGCTCTCTTCACCGACGATGAATGGGCTGAGCTCGAGGGATCTCCGCTCGGTGTCTTCTTCAGATTCGCGAGGAGGACTTTCAATTGGGCATCAATGATTGTGAAGTGTATCCTTACATGTCAAATAGCGTGCAAGAAACCCTTTGAGATATGGAGTGTGGTTGGGCACAACCCTGTAAGGTTCTCGTTAAACGAGTTTGCACACATAACCGGTTTGAACTGCGAGTACACGGAGAATCTCCAGACCCCCTCCTGTGCTGACGTTGATGAAGATGAGTTCTCTGAGTTTTGGCATAAACTCGGTGTTCCTCTCACCAGTGGTCCTTCAATTGATAACCTAATCCGAGCATGCGGATGGGCCCAAGACTGGTCAGCGGAGGACAAAAAGAGACTGGCTTATTTAGCCGTGTACGCTGGTTTCATTATCGCAGCGAGGGAAAGTACTGCTACGCCGCTGGGGATGGCAAAGTTGGTAATGGACCTAGAAGAGTTCGAGGCTTATCCTTGGGGGAGGGTAGCCTTCTTGAACCTCATTCAATCTGTGAAAAGCGCCAACCTCAGCAAGCACTACGTTCTGTGCGGGTTTGTTGAAGTTCTTCAACTGTGGACTACTACGCTATGCCCACCTTCGGCGAAGAATACGGTGATCCCTATGCCGCTCCGCAATCTCCGCCTTTGATGGCATTCAGGGGAATGAAAGGGCGTAAGAATATAATGCCTCGACTTCTTGCGCAGGTACGTAATGAGTTCAATAAGAAATGGTTTAGTTATATCATAACATCCCCATATTCATCGTTATGATCGCAGGTTGAGTACAATCATATGGTGATGGTGACGAGGGAGGATGCTTACCCTAGGTGGGACAACGACGTGGAGGATGATGACGTCGATAACGTCATCAAGGCCTTGTATGGTGAGCTGGGTGGAGTGTGGAGATGGAAGCCATCCGACTGGATCCGCGAAGGAATAATGGTTTTGGATAACGTGAAGGCAGAGAAGGGTTTTCCCAGGAAGAGACTGCTGGATTCAGATGACCTGTCCGTGAAGAGACCATGCCATGCCTATGGGATGGAAGGACAGTCCTCCGACGCTGGTTTGGGGACAATCCAGTCCGCATTGCAGGCAATGTTTGATCAGTTCACTGTGTATCAGTCAGGTCAAATCACCAACCGGTTCGATAGGCTCGAATACAAGGTCGAGCTCCTCACCAACCAGGTGACCTCGCTGGAGTCTGCTGTCGAGAAGCTTAGACAGGGCTCATCGGAAGATACAGCAGATAAGGAGCATGACAAGTCCAACGAGGCTGTTGGAGGAGAAGGAAAGGAAGAAGAGCCGGCCGGTGCTGCAAAGGTTCACGAAGACGCTAAGGTCCCCGAACCTTCTAAGGTTCCCGGAAGCTTCTAATGTTCCCGAATCTTCTAATGTTCCCGAGCTTCAAGGTGCCCGAAGCTGCTGCCCCGGTTAGTAATGATCCCTTTCGCAATAAATCTGCTCGTATTGCTGCCAAAAAAAAAAATGAAATGACTGAGAATCCTAAACCAACTAGCAATAAGGCGGGTAGAGGTAGAGGCAGGAAGAAGACGAAGTAGTCATGAAGATTGTTGTTTGTTTAATTGCAACTCTCCCTTACATGTTTCGTGTTTGCGTGCGAACATATTATATACATTTCACATGTACACTTCACATGTAGACTTCACTTGTAGACTTCACATGTATACGTTACATGTAGACTTGTTGCTCATTGAATCGCTTATTTCTATGTTAACACCCCTTAATAATTACGCTACGTTGTTGCTGTTTATCGGTCGGTGTAGAACCAGACAGCCGAGTCCTGCGAGAGTGACAACGATAAGGACGACAGCTGCGAGTTCCTGAGGCAATTACGCCGTCGAAAGCAGACACGATCGAGTATCTAAAAAGAAGGCAACCGAAGGACACGGCCAAGATATGGATGCGAAAAGGCGGAGGACAGAGAGGATCATGACACTAGCGGAGTCACAAGGTGGTGTTTACATTGGTAATAGTACGGCGAAGCGTATAGTACCTAACGATGGAGCTAGAGGACGTGGATATGATCCCTTCGCGCCATTGGACAAGGGGACGAAGAAAGCCGTCATAGAGTACTGCAAGAAGCTTCCGTAAGTTGACTTCACATGAATATTTATATGTAGCCTTCGTGAGTAGACTTAGTATGTTGACGATAAGCTTATAACCTCATTGGCCTTCGTTGCTATGATTTGTTCCCAGTGGTTCAGGAAAGAGGAAGACCATAAAAACAGCCAAGGAGTATCCCATAAGATTTTGGTGGTATGACCTTCTGAATCAGAAGGAGTGGCTGGAAGACACGGTTTGTTACCCTTTCTAAAGTATATTTAACTTCAGTTGTAGACTTTCATTAAGTTATCTAATCCGATGTTCTCGACAATGCAGCACATAAACGCCGCAATTTATTTACTGAGGGCACGCTTGATGGATCACCCAGAGTGGTTCAGAAGTGATCGTATCTGCTTTGTGGACACATACTTTGGGCACTACTGGAGTGCAAAGTACGAGGAGTTCAAGCTGGTAGAGGCTAACGAGAAGGGCGAAGGGAAGCCCCTACCAAATCTATCGTGGGATTACTATAAAGGTGCACAACCAGAGCCTCGGCCAACAAACAAGATTTGGGGGGTCGACATTGACGAACTTTACGTCCCTTTCAACGTGAAAACTGACCATTGGGTAGCTCTGCTCATTTCCTTGCCGAAGAGGCATATCACTGTGTACGATAGTCTACCCCATCACGTGAAGCCGGAAGAGTTACCTGCACTCTTAGAACCATTGGCGGTGATGTTTCCCTATTTGATGAGGACATGCGTTGACGAGGACATGAAGTACTTGTGGACTCTGGAACCGTTTACTTATGACCGGCCAATCGGCCAAGAGATCGTGCCACAACAGAGGCAACGACAATGACTGCGGAGTGTTCACGCTGAAGTACATTGAATGCCACGCCCTTGGTATGGAGTTCCCGCAGACGCTGTGCCACGCGAACATACCTGACATTAGATTGAAAATTCGCTGGTGACTTATTCCATGAGACAGGGGTTCGCGGACCAAAGGAGCGTGACTGGGCGGAGTTGGACTAATCAGAGTCGATGATGTGGGTGGATGTATGTATTAGGTACAGGTTTAGGCTGACGAGGGTAGGCTTGTTTTGGTTTAAGGTATTTTTTTGGCCAAACCTATCAAGTAACAGGTTTTCGGTGTAAATGGGTGGACAAGTACTCTTCCGATATTACTACTTGTTTTGTAAAGGTATTTCTGGGAAGGGTTAATGTTAACTTCTAATGTAAACTTTGTATGTTAACTTCGTCTGTAGACTTCCGTATCACTTTTCTGCACTATTTCTGGTCATTGAAAATATTTGATAAACCATGATTTGAGAATGCCATACACTATTTCAAGTCTTAAACGTCAGTAGATTTGGCAAATTACGCATACCCCGAATATAACCCAAATACACTTACAATAACATACACTTAGAATACCTACGAGACTCGATGGATCTTGTGGAGTTCTTATGAAGACTTATGCGGTAGACATCATTTGCAGACTTCAGTCTGAAGCAGTCTTCAATCCGGAAAATATATGGTTTACCATTAGGACATGAATTTCAAAATCAAGAAATGATATGCGTGAAGGAGATCTAGTATTACAAAATACTTACACATTTTGGCCGTGTATGACCTGGTAATTTGCACTTGGAACACGTGTACTTCTTTGGCATCTTTCTCGGTTTGTTGTTCCTCTTCCGTGCCAACTCTAACCAAGTTTGCCACCTTGATTTCTTTTTCCTGCCAGGGGCCGGTGCAGGCTCCGGGGACGGCAAGGTTCCTTTTTAACGAATGAAAAGTTTGATGCTGAAGGATAGAGCGGATGCGCATAGGTAGCGTGTACAGTGTTTTTATTGTACGCTGGACTCACGTATGAAGAGACAAGTAAGCGCGCGTCGTTAATTGCAGCAATGGCGTGTGAGCAAGGTATCTTCTCAACTTCAAACACCCCACAAGAGCATGTTCGGAGTTCCAAATCTACATTGTACAAGCCTGCTCCAGACTTGACACTGAACTGCCAATCGTCTATGCGCTCTACGTCCATAAAACCGGCATAGTGCTCACGCACGGCCAACAAGTACTCAACTCCTTTGCTGTGGAGTGTGGTGAGAGTTAGAGCATTTTCACGCCTCTTCATGAACCAGTGGCTCAGCTTTTCTCTGATAAACTCTAAGAGAGAAGGTAATGGATATCCCTTCGCTTTCTTGACAGCAGAGTTGATTGACTCCGCTATATTGCTAGTCTTTATGTTGAATCTTTCCCTGGGCAATGCACTCGGGACCATAAGGCCGGGTTGGCTGTCTCCAAGTATGTTGCAAGAGCAGGTTTTGCAGCTCTGATTTGGTCCATATACCAGTTGTATGTATCAAGGTTGTGCGCATATGCCGCACCTTTCACCATATACATGATATCCTTTGCATGGTAAGTTCCGATGATGTTATTCTGCATATGGTAATAGCAAATCCCTCTTGTTGCCCATGGGAAGACAGTTTCAATTGCGTTTGCGATAGCTGGGTGTCTGTCAGAGACAATGACAAGTGGGAAGTCCTGAGTGAAGCAACCCTTCAGGTTATTCATAAACCACCCCCAAGACTCATTATTCTCGGCATCTACGACAGCAAAAGCCAAAGGGAAGACTTGAAAATTACCATCCTGCCCGGCTGCGACAAGAAGTGTACCACCATACTTCCCCGTCAGATGAGTCCCATCAACAATAACCACTCGCCTGCAGTACTGAAAACCAACCATGCAAGCTCTAAAAGATATAAAGCAGTACTTGAAGCGATCAAGTTTATCCCGGACAAGGTCGGTAATAGTTCCAGGGTTTGCTTCCTTCGTTCTATGCAAGTATGAAGCCAAGTTCGCATACCCGTCTTCAGGTGTCCCTCTGACGTATTCATGAGCAGCTCTCAAAGACCTGTATGCTGTCGTATAGTTCAGCTTCAAGCCGAACATCACTTTCATGGATATGACGATGTGTTCAGGCACAATTCCCTCGATAATCCCAACCCTCTCTATGAATAAGGCGCCGATATATTTTGGTGTGCAGCTTTTCCGGTTCGCTACTCGGTCTGCGATAGAACAAGTATGAGTACTCACATACTTTGTGACGAAAAACGCGATTGCCTCGTTCTTCAGAGACGCCCTAACTCGCCATGCACATCCGTTTACGTTGCAAGTGGCAACAAAGAGAGCTGGTGAGGACTTGAAGACACGAAACGAGAATCTGTGCACTACAGCCATCAATCGACACATATTTAGAAGTTCATCCTTGCTTGCAAAACGCTGTCCAACCTTGATAACGGCGTCCCTATACTTATCAAAATGTCCTCCTTCATTATAGCAGCGTCCTTTGAGCCGGATATCATCAAGCGGAACCTTTTTCTCGCGCACATCTTCGTCTGGGACTCTGCCATACTCACTATAATCAGCTTCTGCTTCATCAATCTCACCATTGGTCCAATCGGTTGTTGGTCTTGGTTCATCTACGGGTTCATCGTCTGCATCATCGTATTCGTTTGCCTGTGCATCCCAATCTTCATCATCAGTAGACAAGCCCCACTCGCTATCCGATCCGACATTATCACCATCTGGTAAATCGCTTTTCGCAGTATTCATCCGCTTGCTCGAAACACTCAGCCGTATAACATGCAGTCGACTTAGTTCTACCAAGACTTGAACTTGCCTATCAGTCGTTACAAACGTAGGAGGAGAATCGATAGGTACCCCCTGGATAATATCAGCTGGAAGTGGGTACGAAACCTCAATAAGCTCAGAATTCGAATCAACCCCATATTCATCGTTTGCCATTTCAACAAGCTCGCCATGGGTACAACCATCTCTCAATGAGAACAGTCTACCGCCCTTGTCGTCATCCACTACGAAGAACCAAGTCCCTTGCTCTCTCCTCTCCCATTTCCCGTAAACAGCCGCTACGTACACCATCTTCTGCGAAACAAATAACACAACGTCAATGAACGATTATAAGTACACTTCGATATGAAATCAACATGTAGACTTCATTGTGCAGTCTACTACATTTCACCTAAACTCCACCAAAAACTAAATATTTGATTACCTTCAAAATATAATGATTAAGCAAGTCAAATTGTTACACAGCCAAATAAACAGATAAAAACAACTTACTGTCCAAGAAAATCTTAAAATTAGTTATTCATGTAGCACAAACACCTAATTTACAAAATTGTAACAAAGTAGACTTCATGTAGAAATCCACATGTGGACTTCAGCAGGAAGTCAACTTAGGGGTATACTTTTGCAAGAATATTTTGGGAAGTCTACAATGGAAGTCAACAATTAGAGGGGTATACTTTTGCAATTGACCAAATCACGACTTTTTGAAGTAGACTTCTTTTTCTAAAAGTAGACTTCCCTCTGAAGTCAACAGTGATAAGTAGACTTCAATAAGAAGTCAACAACAAAAAGTAGACGTCATATCGAAGTCTACTGCCAAAAGTTGACTTCGTAAAACAACGTTTGCAGTTGGTGTACCCCGAGTTACTATTCATTCGTTGACCAGTTGACTTCTTTTTGAAGAAGTAGACTTCACCGTGAAGTCTACGCTCAAAGTAGACTTCACGATGAAGTCTACACGTCAAAGTAGACTTCGCGGGGTAGTCTACAGACTAAAAAAGAAGTCTACATCAAAAAGTCGTGATTTGGTCAATTGCAAAAGTATACCCCTGATGCGTAGACTTCATATGTAGACGTCATTACCGAAAGTCGTCGTCAAGTCAATTGCAAAAGTATACCCCTCCCGAAAAATAGACTTCACAATGAAGTCTACACATGGGGTCCACCTTTTTTTGTTGTCAAAGGATTACTGTAGACTTCTCAAGGAAGTCTAAAAATCCAAAAAAATTTGAAGGCGTTTGCAGTTAGTGTACCCCGCGTTCACATGTAGACTTCTATATGAAGTCTACAACGCGCCGGAGATCTGAAATTCACGATAAACGAACGGAAAATCACCTTGATTTGCTGTTTGGTTGCGTCGACGGCGGATTGGTTCGATTTAAACCTTCAGCGGAGAAGCCCAGCCGTTGCCGTGAACTTCGTGACCGGAAATGGCATCATACAAGAACTTATATTTTTGAGAGATGGATTATAGAGTTTTTGTGATGAAATTGGAGAGAATAAGTTAGAGAAGAAGGTTACAAGAGCACATTGTGTGATTATGGTGGTGTAAAAGGGAAGAAGAAGCATTAAAAACCTTGGATATGGTTGAGAATGGTTGTTGGGTGAATTGAATTTGATGGCATTTCTGTGAATAAATGAAGGAGATGAGGTTAGTTTGGAAATTAGTAATTTCGAAAAAATGGAAAAATAGAAAAGATGATGGCATTTTGGTATATATGATAAGAGGGTAAGGATGATATAAGAGAAAGAGGTGTAAGTATTAGAGGGGTATACCAAAAACATTGACCACAAATTGGGGTCTACTTTTGCAAACATCCCTATAGTAATTACAAATCACAAAATGAGTTAAACCGTAAAGAGACTGAAAAGTGAAAGAGTATTTCTCCAAAATAGCACATTTTTAAGTTTTTGTTCTAAACATGTAAGTTTTTTTGTTTTTTGTTTATTCCAATAGTAGCACAAATTTAACATAAAAATGACTCAAAACTCAAAAACGGTTAAAATGTAAACCCTAAATTATGAGCTGTGATCATGATAGCTGCTCGTACCTCATATATTTTCTTTGTGATCTTTGACATACATACTTGATTACTTGTTATCACATTTTCTATAGAATTTTGGGTGCATGTTCCACAAAAAAGCCTCATACTGCTTTATTGTATCACCAAACCGATTCTGCTTTCTTCTGAATAGGTATGCAGAATCAAAATGGTGCTTGGAAGAGCTAACGACGATTATCGAACAAGTGGGAAAACGGGATATGATTGTCATCCCAATCCTCTATAAGATGAAACCTGACGATGTTAGGAGACAGAAAGGAGTGTTCGGCAATAGGTTTTGGAGACGCAGTGAAGAATCCAGCGGTGAAGAGATGGAGAAATGGAAACTGGCTTTGAAGGCTGTGTCAAACAAGCATGGCTTCACGTTGGACAACAATAGGTATATATATATATATACCCGTGTTATAGTAAGAAGAGAGAACAAGAGAAGAGAGAATTGGTTGTATCTTATTCATGAATAATGAGTCCTTTATATAGGAGTACAAGAGAAGGGTTTTCCTTGGAGAGGAGGTACAACTTGGAGAACAAGCTAGAACATTCTAGAATATGGGCCGATAATGGGCTTCCATATAAACTAATCATAACACTCCCTTGGAAGTCCATTATCTAAAAATATCTTCTAAATGCGCATGATGCTGCCTCGTTAAAACCTTACCAGGAAAACCCAAAGGGAAAAACCTTAGTTAAGGAAAAAGAGTACAGCGCGCAACTACTCCCCCTCATGAGAACATCCGTGTAGATTAGGTGAATGAACTTCTTGATAATAGCAGATGGAAACTCCTTTAAAATCTTCACTTGAACAGTCTTTAGAACATTGACATCGCCATTCTTCTTGGGTGCATGGTCAAGATGATTCATCTTGATCAATCTCCTTGCTTCACTTGATCTTAAATAGATGACAAGACTTCTTTAGATGTTTCTCATTTGTGTGTTCTTTGTTGCCTCATTAAAACCTTTCATGGAAAAACCCAATGGGATAAAAACCATGATAAGGAAAAAGAGTACAACCACACATATCATCATATTCTCCCCTTATGCAAATACTATCTTTAAGGAGATTACTATAAGTATAACTTTGATGAAAGTCATTTAGACTTTTAGTCTATGACATCTTTTTCTATAAACAATCATTTGGACTTCTGGCCAAATTTTCTCTTTTATATACATTCTTGTAATCTATCTTGTATATATAATCTCATGCTCATTTTGCTCATTTTCAATTATGAAAGAGACTAACATATTTTTCAAATAGCATTTGAAGTATGGTACTTCAGGACCAAATATATGTGAGCATTGTTTATGTAAATCATGCCATAACATTTCTGGGAATTTGGGATATCTTAAGACAACTTTGTCTTTCCAAATCTTTTATCCCATCTCCTTGTGATACTAATTTCGAAAATGCTTCAGAATTTCGATGTTTAGTTTCATGATCTCTATAATACCTTTTGTTAAATATACATGGGTATTGTACTTATATATCACTTTGTATATCCATGAAATATATTTCTATTCATTTGATTGAATAGCTAATGTTCTCCGGGAACATAACGATTATATCATTAATTCTTCAATGATTATATCCTTCAGGGACTTTTATATAAATGTCATTGTTTAGTGAGTTGTAAGTCAAGTTCTTCTTTCATTGCCAGACTTAATGAACTTGAAAGTTGCATCCACCACATGAGAGTATATCTCTTCATACTCATTCTTTATAACTCACTTGTTTCACACTTTTTAGGTGAAAGGACTTCTGGTCCAAATACTTTCTCTTTCTAAGAGATTTTGTTTTGAGTCTATTGCTTCTTTTGATTTGGCCAAATCATTACTTTGTGTACACAATGCAATAGACTTTGTTTCATGATCCTCTTTATCATTCATAATATCAACTGCTACATTGCATGCAAATATATTATTTACGACGTCGATTTGCTTCTGGTTCCATTTATGCTATACATGACATAAGTAATTTCTCGAGATCTCATCATTGTCTCAGGTACCTGAATTTCTTATTTGTCATGTTTAATGTCTCTTCTGGAGATCACTCAAAAATATTTGTTTCCTCGGTTTGACCATTGTCAATTTATGCTCTTTTACTTTTTCGAGGATTATAATATTTGGAACCGACAAGTCTATCACGCTTCATGCGTTCTTTAGACTCACTAGCAGCTTGATATTGTCCTTCTGGGACATCAATTCTTATTAGAGCATTTACAGCTGGTAAGTGACTCAATCACTATATTTGGGTCAGTAAATGTATCTGGCAACTGATACAATAAGTTTTGTGAATGAACTATCTTTTGGACTTCTATTTCACATTCTATAGTCCGAGGATCAATGATAATTCATTCAAACTACTTTTCTTTCCAGCCTTTTATTTCTCCCCCTGATGTTGGAAAGACTTATCCATTAACATGGTAGTCTATAAATCGAGCCTTACTTAAATCCTTCAGGGATAGCTCTAGATATTATCAATGGAGATTCATATCCAACATCTACAATCTCTTTTGAAGATCCATCTTATATTGCTGTGGTGGAGCAATGTGGATGTTGCACATCCAAAGGTTTCTGACCCAAAACCAATTTTGATGGGGAGAACTTTTAATTCTTTGTTGGCTTTATGCGAATTAATGCTTTTGTGTATGAACATTATCTACTGGATGTTCAATTTATTCAAACATGATTTTCTCATCAAAGACTTAAGATGTGAATTCACCAGCACTATCAAGTAATCTTGCAAACTTCAGGTTGCAGATTTATAATATGAATACATACATAAAATTTCCTTTAGGGATGATTAGTCTACGATATGTGTTATTAATTAAACCACATATGTTCTTGTATACTCTCTAGAAAATGAAGTAGACTCAAAATCTATTTTGGCTAGTGATAATTATTGTATTATCATAATCTCATATGATAAATATCACATTAGGAATCATTTAGAGAATTTCTAGTTCTTCAACAAATGTCTACATGTTGTATTTTATTTCGCATAATATCTTGAACTAGAATGGACTAACCAGTTCATGCCAAATTATATTATATTCGGTAAACTTCTGGTTTACTGTATAACCAAAATATATGATTCATGAGGATCATTTATCTTTGAATATAATCTTCTGGACTATGAATTAGGGATTCTTATATCTATATATTTTTTCTTGATCAATGATCAAGTTTATCTTGAGTGTGAACATAATCTTCTAGATGTTCCATTATTATTGATTGTAGATTCATCCATTCTCCCCCTCGAGATGATGATACTTCAGGTTCATCTATCTCGAATTGAATTCCAATATAAAATCAATAACCTCTTTAACCATTTACTTGTATATCACATTCACTTCAGGGAATTGATCATAACCAATTGGATATGATTTTCATCAATGATTCAATATTTTCTCAAAATAATGTAAAATTGTCTAAGATTATTTTGTCTACAAGACAATATGACAATATTATTTAGAGTATGCTTTTTAGCATCTCTATTGATATACATTATCTTCTATATAGTTAAAAGTTATTTACAGACTTCAGGTCTTGTAATCTTTCATAAAAATCATATAGACAATAATAAAATAAAAATAAAAATAAGTATATATATAAATAAATAGAGCATAATCAAAATAAATATTAATAATATATACCATTTATTATCACTTCTGGTGACAAATTTAGTTTAAAATAAAATTAGAAAGATAAGATATAATTTGAATAAATTCTCAAATTATATTATCACTTCAGGTGATAATGTTTTTTGTGTCTGCAAGACAACAAAATTTTCTTGATGTATTTTAACATCTTCATAATATTTATTATCTCCACTTATAGACTTCAGGTCATGTGGTTTTTGATGCAAATACTAAATATAAAATAAAATAAATAAATAAATATTATCAAGCTACATATATGTATAAGTAAAACATGATAATAACAATTAATATTAGTAACATGTACTATTTTATTATCACTTCAGGTGACAAATTTAATTTTAAAAGAAAATAACAAATTAAAAATCATTAAGAATTTCTTTGCTATTGTGTCTACTGGACAACTATATAAAATTCTTTAAACATATTGTGTCTGCAGGACAACAATATTTTCATGATTTCTTCTAACACATTAATTTGTATTAGTAATTATTCCACATATAAACTTCAAGTTATATGATCTTAGATGAAATAATTTTCTATTTAGATAATATCACTTCTGGTGATAATTCTTTTTCTTTAGATTAATATTTCAAAATCATATCACTTCTGGTGATAATACTTTTTCCTTTGGATTGCTATATTAGATCACTTCTGGTGATCAATCCTTTTTATTTTTGTAGTCAATTTTCACAATAAGAGATACAAAAATGTGACGACAAAATTAATTAGATCAATGAATTACAACTTATGTATTAACAGATAATAGACAACTTAACCATCACTAACTATGTGCTTGATTTGATAGCAATAAACAAATACACATGCTCATGAAATCACTTTAATCGAACAAATGAAACGATAAGACGCTAGCGCAATAAAGTTTATCAAATTACCAGGTTCGTCAAAGAAGCATAAGATGGTCTAACATATAGCTTATCATTGATTAAACTAATGCATTAGAATATTAAACCAACGTATTGAAACATTCGACAATCATTACGAACATATAAATATCATCGACATCATAAACTCATGGTGAATACCAATGATTTCTAACAATTAAACCAACCAATGATTCACTGTTAAATGCTAACAATTCTCAATAGTCGAAACAAGCGCATATATACCAATCATATTCTAAAGCAAACAACTATTTGATCATTTCGATATATGCTCATTAATCAAACGTTAGTGCAACTATATTGCTAATACTTAAAACATGTTTGACAAACAAGATATGTTTTACATGTCTAAACCTCAATTATCACTTCTTTTTAAATATGCTTTAGAAAGGAATTCACAGCCTAAACAAGTAACAGGAATCATATATCATAAATACTAAGTATGATGTGGGGATTAGAGAATAATCCTAAATTGCTATGAATGCATGATTCAATTATGAACATACACCCAAATCGATATTATCTTAAATAGCAAATATCATATGAGGTGCAAATAAAAATATCATATAAAATAAAGATGCTCACCCAGAATATAAATTATCCTAAGTTATCTATCACATGGCTTAAGATGAGTCAAAGTAACTGAATCAAATTGCAACAATCGAAGGAGCATAGATCTAACAATCGAAGAATCATAAATCGATAGATTGATGCCTTTTAGTTTATAAACAGATCAATATTAAACAATATATAAAGTCTTCGATATATCAATACTAAACAATATGTTAGACAATAAAATAGATCAATATTTGATGATTAATAATATGCAATTAATCAATTAAACATATAACGAAAATAACAAATATCTTATGAGAAGCAAATAAAAATAAATAAAAACAATATATATGTAACTGAAATAATAAACAATATAAAATCTTTATAAATCCTTCTGGGATAAATAAAATATAAATCCTTCATAGATATAAAAATCTTTCTATGATAAGATATAAATTCTTCTGGGATATAAATGATTTTGTAATTGTAATTCTTCAGAATTACAAATCCTTCTCGGATTGAGATGATAAACATAGATCAACAAAATAATAGAAATTATTCATTGAATCTTGTTTAATCTTTGGAAATAAGGAAATTTGATTTCCTCTTACCTCTTAGCTTAGACGGCTAGGGTTTTAACCTAATGGTTAGAGACTCGTGCTGATAACGTGTTATAGTAAGAAGAGAGAACAAGAGAAGAGATGAATTGGTTGTATCTTATTCATGAATAATAAGTCCTTTATATAGGAGTACAAGAGAAGGGTTTTCTTGGAGAGGAGGTACAACTTGGAGAACAAGCTAGAACATTCTAGAATATGGGCCGATAATGGGCTTCCATATAAACTAATCATAACAACCCGAAAGTGTTTGACATATTTTTGACGTTGATATATATAAACAGTATTCAATTCAAAACCCTAATTTTAGACCTTTTAAAATCAATCTTTAGTTCTGTCATGAAATATATCTCATTTTTACGTAAAGAATGTCACTTAAACTTTTCCCAAAAGCAATGTGCTGACATAAACTTTTTTTTTTTGCTTTTCATCCTTGAAAAAGACTACAACAAAACCTGTTATTCTTTAAATTAGTTATTTAATATTACTGTTGACTCTTTTTTTTTTCACTTCACAGACTATTTTAATTTCTCAACATTAAATTTTCCTTACGTAATATGAATTATAAAACGTTTTGAAAAATGTATATAAAAAATGTTCGTTACGATGGCGGGAGTTTCGTCTGCAGATTAATCATATATAACTGATTTTTATATCCAGAAAAGGTTTAAAGTGCATAGACCGTAGTTGTCCATGAAATCTTGTAAGAAAGACGTTGGCAGCAAAAACATGTGAATTATTGTTAAAAGGAAAATTGTACACGAAATATTTCATACCTGATTGATTTATCATCTTTATTTTTCATTTTAGTTCTAATGATGATAGATAAGTAACTTCACTGAACTTCTGTTCTTCTCTAACTCTTACAGATCAGAGGCCAAGTTTATCAAGAAGGTCGTTAAAGAGGTAGGGAAAGTTGTAACCACTACTGTTAAGTCTGATGAAAAAAGAGAAGATGATTGCGTGAAGAAGGTGATAACATATGAAGTCTCAGTGACCAAGCCACAACCTAAGAACAATGCACCTATATAAGTCCAACCGCCAAGCCAAAGTCCCAAACCATGCCCATATCAGAGCGAGCCAATGGCTTCATTTGAGATGAAAAACTGATGGTTACTTAGTTTGGTACTAACTTATTGAGCACTTGATTATCATCTTCCTTTCGGATTTGGTTTTAACTTTTAAGTTTTATCCTTTCATTTATTTATTCTTAGCTTTTTTTTTTTTGTCCAAAAAGTTTGATCCTTTTATTAAAATTCATTCGATTTATTCTTCCTAGATTCTATATATAGTCAAGCACTCAAGCTTAAGAAATCTTTTGTCATGCAGTTTTTGAGATTTATGTAATAAGGAAAGAGCATATTTTCACTTTTGTGTTGATTTGATTGAATTCATCAAACAAAATGTGGTCTCAAGCTAGCTATTCAAACAAAACTTTTGATTGTGAGAACATTATAAAAGACAAAAAAAAAGAGAAAACTCTGACTTTTAGCAAAAAAAAAGGGTCACAAAAAAATAGAGAGAAAGTACTTAGCCCAAAAAAGGTGAAAACATAAAACCCAACTAAATTAAATTAGAGAAGAAAGTTTAATCAACTTCCTCAATCTTGGGACCAGCACCGCCTGAAGAAGGAGGAGCTTCGTCCTCATCCATTCCGGCGGCAGGACCACCAGCTTCACCACCAGCACCTCCTTGATACATCTTAGAGATGATCGGATTGCAAACACTCTCCAACTCCTTCATCTTATCTTCAAACTCTTCTGCTTCAGCCATTTGGTTACCATCAAGCCATTGTATCGCTTCATCAACCAAATCTTCAATCTTCTTCTTGTCCCCAGCAGAAAGCTTCTTCTTCCCTGTGGTCTTGTCCTCTGCCGAGACGTTGAGGATGCCGTTCGCGTCAATGTCGAAACAACATTCTGTGATCTGAGCGATACCACGTAGAGCCGGAGGGATACCAGAGAGAGCTCGAACTTGTACCGAGGAGGTTGTTGTCTTTGGTTCATAGGCTCTCTCACCTTCATAGACTTGGATCAACACACCTGCTGGTTGTCTTCGAGTAAGTGGAGAAGATTGTTCCTTCTTTTCGGGATTGTTGTGTTTCTCTCGATCAAAGTGTCATGACTCCACCGGCTGGTTTCAAGACCGAGAGAAAGAGGAGTCACGTCCAACAGAAGAAGGTCTTGCATCTTTCTCGTTCCCTTCACCGGCTTAAGAATCACTGCCTGAACCGCTGCACCGTAAGCCACAGCCTCGTCAGGGTTAATAGACTTGCACATAGCTCTTTACCATTGAAGAAGTCTTGGAGAAGCTGTTGGACTTTAGGGATACGTGTAGAGCCACCGACAAGAACAACATCATGGACGTGCTCTTGTCCATCTTAGCATCACGGAGACACTTCTCAACAGGCTCCATACACTTTTGAAGAGATCCATGTTAAGTTCTTCGAATCTTAGCACGTGTGATTGGACAGATAGAAATCAATTCCTTCAAACAGAGAGAATCAATCTCAATTGGTTTGTGCTGTGGAAGAAAGAGTCCTCTTTGCTCTCTCGCAAGCTGTTCTCAACCTCCTAAGAGCTCTAGGGTTCCGCTGATATCCTTCTTGTTCTTCCTCTTAAACTCTTGAACAAAGTGGTTAACCATTCTGTTGTCGAAATCTTCACCACCAAGATGAGTGTCTCCGGCAGTAGCCTTCACCTCAAAGATACCTTCTTCAATAGTGAGAAGAGAGACATCAAAAGTACCACCACCAAGATCAAAGATCAAAACGTTCTTCTCCCAACACTGTTGCCTTCTTGTCAAGACCATAAGCAATGCAGCTGCGGTAGGCTCGTTGATGATACGCATAACGTTCAAAGCCAGCGATCACACCAGCGTCCTTTGTGGCTTGACGCTGAGAGTCGTTGAAGTAAGCTGGAACAGTGACAACAGCGTTCTTGATCGAAGAGCCAAGGTAAGCTTCAGCGATCTCACGCATCTTGAGGAGAACCATTGCGAAGAGATTTCTTCTGCGGCGAATTGTTTCTCTTCTCCTTTGTAGTTGACGACGATCATTGGTTTCTGCGGGTCCAGGGATGATCTTGAATGGCCATAGCATCATATCGCTTTTGACGGTTGCGTCACTGATTCTACGACCAATCAATCTCTTTGCGTCTGTCACAATCAACCAAAACAAAAACAGAGTTTAGTCACACACACATTCGAAGAAAATTTAGCATATCAAAATCTACAATACATTGCTTCTGCCACAATTAACCAAAACAAACAGATTTTAGTCACATACATCCGAAGAAAAAGTAGCAAAGCATAATTTTAAAAGTGAATACCTAAAGGATCCGATATAAACAACAAGACCATGTACAAATATCCACATATTATTTAAAATTGTATGCATGCAATCAAAATCGAAGCTAACTAGATAAGTTAATCAAAACCTTTTTATCAACCCTAATTATTTTTGTAACTGGAATACGATTTGGATCAGACAGAGAATATGCATGCAATTAAAAACGAAGCGTTAATATTAATATATTTCTATAAACCCTAAAAAAAATCAAGAATCAATATCTTTCTATAAACCCTAAAAACAAAATCAAGAAGCAAGAAATTTCTATAAACCATAAAAATCAGAATCAAGAACAGAGGAAAGAAGAAGAAGAGGATGAGGTTACATACCGAAGACGGTGTTAATCGGGTTCATGGCGACCTGGTTTTTGGCGGCATCACCGATCAACCTCTCAGAGTCGGTGAAGGCGACGTAAGACGGCGTGGTTCTGTTACCTTGATCATTAGCGATGATCTCAACACGGTCGTGTTGCCATACACCGACACAAGAGTATGTCGTTCCGAGATCGATTCCGATCGCTGGACCTTCTCCTTTACCAGCCATTATCAAAAGCTAACGGAGAAAAAGATGAAATTCGAGAGGTAGACGAAAGAGGTTTGAGTAGAGAGCAGCGAAAATTAGGCTACGGTTTGGTTTTTTGAAGAAAGAGCATCGTGTGAAGGGTTTATATAAGCCCTAACACCTAATGTTTCGAGAATGTTCTGTACGGTTTTGGTCGACCGTTCGATTAGGTTTAGACTGATCCGACGGTTCTGAAGGGATGATACATATGTTTTTCCAATTCCTTAGGCAAATTTGTCCAGTGAAAAATAGGAAAAGGAGCAAATTTGTAGAAAACAGGAAAAGCGATTATTACGAAAGGGAAAAACAATTTCCTGTTTCATCTGGCGATACAAATTTCTTTCTGATAAAGGGAAATTGTTTTTTTTTTTCTTAAAGAAATATCCCCAAAATATCACAAAAAATAGTTTTTTTTTATTCCAAATGTAGCATACTTAATTATGCATCATCACCTTTTGGATGATCATATGACTAAGTTCTGAGCCGAAGTTGAGAAATATTTGGTTTAGAACCTCAAAGAGTCATTTAGATAAGTACCACACTTCATTGGTTTAGTTGGTAAGGAAATGTTAGAAAATCAAGAGGTATGTTTTCATGTAAACACAAAGTTTTCTTGTAAGAAGATCAACAAAATGTTAAACATGGGTAATGTGTGTGTTTTTTTAAAATACGTTATATTTGCAATAACAAGGTTTGAATTTGATCTGATCTAAAAAAAATATTGAATAACATTGAATATTGATAAACTTTATAATATTTGATATACGAGTATACGACCCTGATCATGCATCATCACCTTTTGGATTATCATATGACTATCAGGGTAAGTTCTGAGATATCTTGGTTTGAACTGTTTATTTAGTAAAAAGTGTTCCAGATCAAGTGATATGTTCAATTTGCGGATACGAGTGTTCCATAAACTTCATAGGATAAATTCAAATACTTTCCAGCATGAAAGAAAAACATTTTTCCTATTTTACTGTAAATTCTGTTTTATCCTTCATGTACCTGTACTATATATTAAGAAATTACAAAATATTGAAGAATTAATTATTTGACATAGTTTATATTAGTTCATAATAAATATGGACAGTGGATAAAACAATACAAATTTTATTGTAACGATAAGAGTATAGTCACTTTAAGCCTAACATATCTATGGAATATAAACATTAAAAAATGAGAAACTCTGGGCTCTATATTAGGAACTTGAATCATTTGATGAAGTACGTTTAAATATCAGAACTTCTTGATTTTGCTCTTCTTGACCTCTTGCATTGGAGAAATTCGTATGGGAATTTTCAAGATTTTTCTTCTTGTACTCTGGAGAAGATTGATGCATCTTTCTCCTCTTATTTTTTGATAAGTTGACACAATACTGATGTTCTGTGTCCTCCCATCCAATTGTGGCTAGAACTTTCACAACTTCTTTGACAATGTCTTTGATAAAATCTGCTTCGGAACTGCCAAGTATTGTAATTTAATTGATGGTTATCTCGTGATAAAACCAATAACGCAACCATAAGATGAAAGGTCAATGAAAGAAACAAGTAGAAGGTATCCAAAACAAAAAGTTTCTTTCTCTAAGTTCCACACATCTTTTACACATAATCTATGGGTAATGGGCGTGATTGGTAAGTGCTCTGAATGCTCTGCAGAACAAATTTTTTTTTTAGAACACTAGTGTTAAACCAATCAAACTTTGATTTCATTTTTTAAATTCAAAGCCATAATTTTAAATATGAAAATATTTTGGCTCTGCAGAGCAGATTTTTCAGAGCACAAATTTAAGGACTATGAGAATTCTCTCTCTTCTCATTCCTTAATTGCATTCTCTATATTTCATTTTTAATATTTTATTTCTTATATCTATTTTATTTATTTTTAATGTTACATTTATAAGTTTTTATAAGAAATTATTTATGATAAAAATTCTACAGCACTAAAATCTAAAACCACAGCAAAAAAATTTACAGCTTAAATTTTACAGCAAAAAATCCAAAGCTACAGACATAACCAATTAGACCCTATATCGCACAAAAGACTAATGATCAGAGATTTGGTATACTTTTCTCCGAACATTATTCGCCTTTGACAAAATAGTAGTACTTAAATGTGACACAAAATTTTGGAAGAGATAGATGAGATGATTTGGTGGTGGGGTATTTTTTAGAATATTAGGTGTGGAATTTCAATCTTAGACCCTATATCGCACAAAAGACTAATGATCAGAGATTTGGTATACTTTTCTCCGAACATTATTCGCCTTTGACAAAATAGTAGTACTTAAATGTGACACAAAATTTTGGAAGAGATAGATGAGATGATTTGGAGTAAAACAAAACAAGAAAAGTAAGGTGGTCTTGTATTTTCCCTACTTAATTATGTAGATTATTCTTATTGTTATAAGTAAACCTAAAAAAAACATAATGAAAAAAGAATACAGAAACAGAAGAAGCGGTACTAAATTGTACCTTTTGTCTCTCAAGGACAAACCCATCTTGTTAGAGATACACTCTAGGGCTTCCATCCACTCCTTGATCTGGTTTCCTCGAGAAGCCTTTGCAAGAGCCCAAAACTTGTCACCAAAGTCACCGGTCTGCCTTCTCACATCTCTTTCCCTAACCTTGTAAAAGATTGGTATGACGTGAAGCTTTCCTTTATCTGCACGTTTCTTCATCTTCACTAACTCATCCATGCACCAGCTTGACTCCGCATACCTACAGGTTTATCGGCAATATAATCAATACAAACACTATTGAAGATCAATCATGGTCAAAAACTAAAACTCAGACTCATAAGATCGAGGTGATCTTTTAAATTACCTGCTTGAGAAGATGACAAGTGCGATCTTCGACTCTTTGATCCTTACAAAGAGGTTTGTCAGATTTTTACCCCTTAGCTCGTTTTTGTCTACGAAAAAAGGGATTCTGTGTCTCTCAAAGACGTCAAGGAGGTGGCTGACAAAGCTGTAACGCAACTGATCTCCTCGGAAACTGATGAATACTCTATGACTATGGACTTTAGTGAGAGGCTTGATCCTCATCGTGGACGACTCCTTTAGTGTTTTTTTTTTTTTTTCTTTTTTCTTTAACGTTTAATAAACAGAAATGTGTAATACTCTTGGTATGAGTTATCTCTCAATCGTCTGCATGCTTTGCTTGACACTACTTAGACACGTAGCCCCCAAGTTTAATATTTGGCTATACTAAACGGTCGAGATTGTGAAAGGGACGACTTGTCCTCATCAGAAACTTTGTCAAGATTGTAGAAGAAGAAGTGATCTATACTGATTATACGCGGGATGTTCTTTGTCCATATTTTAGTCGTGGAGAAACCAAGGCTACAACATAATTTTCACATTATGGAGAAACTAAATTTTATATTTTGTAGATAAGTGACTTTTTTTTTGGTATGAGTTATCTCTAAATCGTCTGCATACTTCGCTTGACACTACTTATACACGAATGTGTTTGACGTAGACCCCAAAGTTTAATATTTGGCCATACTAAACGGTGGAGATTGTGAAAGGGGGACGACTTGACCTCATCAGAAACTTTGTCAAGATTGTAAAAGAAGGAGTGATATCTACACTTATTATACGCGGGATGTTCTTTATCCATATTTCAGTCGTGGAGAAACCAAGGCTACAACATAATTTTCACATTATGGAGAAACTAAATATTACATTTTTTCTTAACTCCTCATCATCTAATGTTTATCTTTTGGTTTCTGGACTTTACAACATCCATGTGTCATTTCATTTGGACAACTCATTTGACTCCCAATGTAAAAGCAGACATATCATCACTTGTAAAGACACGAGTTATAAAAAGACGTGTTCGTGTCCCCCTGGTTGTGACTACTTTTCATTTTGTTTACAACAACAAAATATATATATATAAAAAAAGACAAAAAGCAAAAATGTTGAAAGCGATAAACATTTAACTAATATTCTTAGAGGTTTTTTTACAAGTCAAATCCTTCGTTAAAATAAATTTAAGTCAGTCTTGTAAATTACAAAGCTATATTCCATGGAAATAGAAATGAAGATACGATAACGAAACATTTCAAAAAAAGGAAAATATACATTTTGAAAAAAATAATATATATATATATATATATTATAATAGTTTTTTTAATGCAAATGTGAAAATATATATTAAATAGTTTAGCTCAAGATAATAAATATCATGATGTTCAATATCAAAATTTAAATGATATTTTTTTAATTTTAATGTTATGAATTCCATCAATCAAAAGATTCAAAACTATCTTGGAGTATATAGTTTTGAATCCATGTCTTTGTATTACATATGATTTTGGAATTCATAAAATTGATTTATACGGTTTATTTTGCAAAAAAATAATTAGTTTGAGGATTTTTTTTGCACAAAATTCTATTTTATAACATATTTGGCTTTGTTGTCTTGTTTTTTGAACAAGTTATCTATAAAAATCTGTTTGCAGAAAAAATATAATCAAATGAGTCATAGTTTTTGCCATTTGTGACAAAAGCCGAAATATATTGGTTTATAAATTCGGTTCATTAAACCATACCACCCAAATTAGAGATATTCTTCAAACCCAAACAAACCGAATTTCCAAGAACATATCGTTGAAGTAAGGCAACATCATAAATCGTACGGTCAACAAATGTTCGACATTTAACAAAACTCGTGTAAAGAATCTGTTGACTGTTGGTAATAATATAAGACTTATCGCTGTCACTGATGCAATTCTGATTCATCATCCCCATCTTCTCTTCTATTCACCGCTTCACACATAACTGGAAGAAAGAAGAAGAAAACTCCAGTAGAGATCGTAAGTTTTCATTCGCTCTCCTCTCTGATCTCTTTTGGTTGTCATTCTCAATGTATTTGATCTAGGAATAGAAAAAGAGAGACCTTTATGCAATTGATGCCCAAATATTCTTCAATTCAGTGAAATCAATCAAGATTTTAGCTTTTTGTCTTGTATTTGCTCTGGGAATAAAAAAGAGAGAACTTTATGCAACTGATTGAAAATCCAAGTTTCGTTTTTGATGCCCAAATCTAGATTCTTCAATTCAATGGCTTAATATGATCCAAAAATCAATAAAGGTTTCACCTTTCTTGTTCTAATGATCAATTCCATGAATAAATAACAAAACTTTATCATCATTTTCTCAGATCCAACATGAGCACAGAGATCACAGAACAAAACGCTGAGAATCAAACTTGGAGAGACCTTCCTTTAGATCTTCTGATCTCAGCAATGTCTCATCTTGAAATCAAAGACAACGTAAGAGCTTCTTCCGTATGCAAATCATGGTACGAAGCAGCAGTCTCCGTTAGAGTCACAGAGCAGCCTCCATGGCTCATCCACTTCCCAAAATCAAGAAACTCTTACGAGTTCTACAATCCATCAAACTCGGAGAAACATCCAATGGAGCTCCCTGAATCACTATCAGGGTTTAAAGTTCGTTACTCTAAAGACGGATGGCTTCTTATGAGCAAGAACATTTCATCAGACTTCGTCTTGTTCAATCCATTCACAATGGATCTTGTGGTCTTGCCTTATCTTGAATTGTGGTATGGTTACCAATTAGTTGGATTCTCCTGTCCTCCAACGTCAAGTGACTGTGTTGTGTTCACAATCAAGGACTATGATCCGGGTCATGTGACTATCCGGACTTGGAGCCCCGGTGAAGCCACTTGGACTTCGAAGCAGGTCTACGAGTCTCAGTTTCTTGATGTGAAGCATAACTATCTTGTCTTCTCCAACGGTTTGTTTTACTGTCTCAACTTGAGAAACGATCTTGCGGTTTTCGATCCGTCTTTAAGGACGTGGAAGGTGCTCGATGTGACGCCTCCTACACGCCCTGATCACATCGATGATGAGAGTTGGTGTGCAGGAAAGTTCATGGTGGGTTATAAAGGAGAGATCTTTGTGGTGTGTACGTTTGGAAATGAGCAGCCTTTGGTGTTTAAGCTGGATCTTGCGAGAGGTGTTTGGGAGAAGATGGAGAATCTTGGTGGTTTGACGATGTTTGTGAGTGTTAATTCATGTGAATCAAGAACTTATGTGGATGAGGGGATGTTGAGGAACAGTGTTTACTTCCCTAAGTTGTGTGATGATGAGACGCGTTGCGTGAGGTATTCGTTTGATGAGAGGAGATACGATCCGGTTGAGCACAGTGTTAACTGGGGAAAGCAGAGTTCTTCTGAGGACATTTGGATTAAGGCTCCTGAGTATGGATATGAGATGGTTTAGGTTTAATGGAGGCTTAAGTTAATTTTAGGTTATGACTCAAGCTTGGACAAGGTATGGTGTCTACAATTCCTTCATTAGCCATGTAATCACATAGTGGAGCCTGTTTTCTTTATGTATTTGTCTTTGGATTTGTTAGCTTAAACAATAACATTCACCGGTGAGAGAGATTATGGATATTTGATACAAAGAAGCTTGCATTAGAACTATAAAGGATAATACAGTATTTCTTTTTGCTTCTCTACATGTTTCAAGTTTAGGAGTGAATCTTTCAAGATTATGGGTTAAAGTTGTACATACCCACCAGACTGATATTTCAGAATTCAGATGTTTGTGAAATGCATATCAAAACCATGTTCTAGCATAGGAATGAGCTTTAGTGTTGTTATAAGGGATATTTCGGTTTTTGTATATGGTGTTTTGCAGATTTTGTTGCGGTGTCTTGTTGTCTTCTTTTAGTTTTGAATTTCACTTTTGGATTTTAGTTTTTGTGCTCAAAGTTTGATGCTTTGCTCATGGGGAATAGGAACCGTTGTCTTATTATCATAAATATGCTTTTGAGCACAATGTGGTTTGCTGTTAAAAAAAAAAAAAAAAGAAAAAAGAGCACAATGTGGTTTCATGTGAGATATTATCTGTCATATACTGTAACCTCCAAAGATGGAATTATTTGAGGGTCAAAAACCTTGTATGTTTTATGCTTGATCATAAGGAAACAGTGTTTGTGGTGTTCTTGTGATTAGGTCTTGTTCATATGCAAATGCTTTTTTGGCCTTCTCATTGATGTGTGATATGTGCTACTCATTTCTATGGATTTGTTTATGTTCTGGTGGTTTCTTTGTTATATTGTAACATGCTAAAGAACTTTGGCATTGCTTGAGATGAACACGAGGAAAGACTGAATGTGAATGAATTATACCATTGAATCCAAGTCTGCATTTAAATATTCTAAAAGTCTACATTATCAATCAAAATTAATTAATTAACCTCTAACAAACCATCATAAAATAGAGGTTATGATGGTGAAGTCCATTGAAGCTAACTAGAGCTGGTTGTTTAGGTGAGGTCTTGGTCTGAATATCCTACCACACACACAAGTTTAAGTTATTATTAACTAGCAAATTTCAAATGTTAGATGGCAATGTGTATTTTATCTAATTGTCCAAGTAGTGGATTGTGGCAGGTAGTGGACCTAGTGGTATAAGTCTCATGACACTAATAAGAGAAAATGGGTTAGTGAGAGATTTGTGATCTTTGTCATGTTAGAGAAAATTAGAGATTTTTCAACATTCTTGTCTACTTATTACGACCTAGTGGTATAAGTCTCATGACACAAGAATGTTGAAAAATTCTGGTTTATTACGACTACACATACATCTTTAGGCGGCTTAAGGTTGCAATTTTTTTTCATAATTTCTACTGCAATTTGTTCTATTTATAATTTAAATAGAGCTTCACGATTTTTCTAAAGAGATTGCAAAAAACATTTGAGTGACAAAAAAGAATGGAAATCAACCTTGATCTAAAGAAACTATGAAATGAACTTCTAAATGACAAGAAAATATGAGATGTATTTTGCAGATGATTAAAGATTTCAAAATTTTCATATTTCTAATGCATTTTTTTTTAGACTGTACTTTCAAAGAAAACCATTTTTCTTTTGCTAACTATTGTAAAACCAATGCAATGACAGAAAATAGTTTGAAAATATTAAATTTCAAATATAGGATCAAATGAACAGAAAAAAATATATATTTTAGGATATGAAAGTCTTCCTAAAATGTACGACCAATATATGTTTGGCAACAAAACACTATACAGTTTTTTATATACTTCATTCTCTGTCTCCATCCTTTTGAAATGCAACTGCAAGAAGTAGAAGACGAAGAAAGAAGTTAAAATCGAAATCGTGAGTTTTCTCTTCTCGTCCTCCTTTTTCCTATTACTCAAATATCATAAGTTCTTCTATCGAATCTCAATCTTCTTGCTTAGATGCTAACTAACTTGTGCGGATACTTGTTAATTTGGAAGACTTGGCGCAAGTTAGCATCGACTTTTGTTGACGGAGACCAGATCGAGAGACTCTCAAAGACGAAGTCTTTATGATTGATTGGACGAATACTGTTGCTGGGTTTTGATTTCTCTTCCATTTCGTTGAACTAAGCGCTGAATTAAAGAAAATCAATGTATACCCGAAGTTGAATCTCCTGTTCGTGAGCTCAAAGGTAGTTTCTTTAGTTGCTGCTGCTAAAGAGTAAAACTTTTAAGGGATTTACTAAGTTGATTTGTGAGTAAATCCCCAATTATAGAAGGTTGAGCTGTGTTCTCTGAGCAATCTAATTGGTGTTGAGCTAATTTGGACTTGGTAGTTTAGCCAAAGGTCAAAACTTTGACTTGCTTGATACTCTGAAATCTGGGGAAAAGTTCTGATTTTTTTTGTGATTTATCGTCTATGTATGTTGATTTGTGTGCTCAAAGTGGTGTGTTTGAGTCTCTTGACTTGCTTGATGCTCCAAATTCTCTGTCTTTATTTTGATTGTAAGCCATTTCTTCCATTGGCAGCTTATACTGAAAGATTCTGCCATTTTTGGAGGCCTCTTCTACTCTCTTTGAACTTGCCGTTGATCGAACTCATCTCTGAGGTTATTAGTAAACCAGTGGAACTGGAGTTTGTAATCAAGCCTTTTGTCCATTGAGGAGACCTTATTGTTGAAGTGGTAAGTCTTTGAACAAAAAGATGTCTAATGGTTGTGATGACTATAGTCTTAAGTGGTTCTTTATCTCTGTGGTAGGTACTCATTTTGAGATGAAACCCTACGAACACGATGGAGTAGACTTGGAAGATGGGAAGACAAGAAAACCCGGAGATAAACCAGCTCTGAGAAAGATACATAACCAGGCTTTGTTATCTGGTTTAGCTTATTGCATTTCATCATGCAGCATGATACTGGTGAACAAGTTTGTTCTTTCCAGCTACAACTTCAACGCTGGGATATTTCTAATGCTATACCAGGTACGTTCATGTGTGACTTCGACTAGTTTGATGTATGTGGTTGGTTGTTTTTTTTCATATTGCTTACACTGTCTGTGATGGTTGCAGAATTTTGTCTCAGTGATCATTGTAATTATTTTGAGCTTAACGGGTCTAATAACAACGGAACCATTGACCTGGAGATTGATTAAGGTCTGGTTTCCTGTGAACGTTATCTTCGTTGGTATGCTTATCACAAGCATGTTTAGGTAGGACTGAGTTCTTATACCTTTATTTTCAGCTTCATGTTGTATATGACATGATATTCGGAATTTAAGCTACAGTAGTGTTAAGATATGTTTGTACTATTTGTTTCTGTGACAGTTTGAAATACATCAACGTAGCAATGGTCACTGTCCTGAAGAATGTGACTAATGTAATCACAGCAGTTGGTGAGATGTATCTATTCAACAAGCATCATGACAACAGGGTTTGGCTTGCTCTCTTCTTAATGGTACGTTTGTCCATTTGAAAGGTTTTATGTTTGATGTTATTATGTGATATTATGGTTGATGTTGTCTAATGAGAGATTCTTCTCTTAATCAATGCAGATCATTTCTGCAGTATCTGGAGGAATAACAGATCTATCTTTCAACGCTGTTGGCTATTGTTGGCAAATTGCTAACTGTTTCTTGACTGCATCTTACTCTGTGAGTCAACATTTGATCTTGTGTGCACTTTTATCACAATATCTACTAGACTAGTCACAATATTGTTGTTGATTTTGCAGCTGACATTGAGAAGGACCATGGATACAGCCAAGCAAGTTACTCAATCGGGAAACTTGAACGAGTTCTCAATGGTCTTGCTTAATAACACACTCTCATTACCTCTTGGCATTGTTCTTTCTTTTGCTTTCAACGAGACAGATTATCTGTTTAAAACGTGAGTTACTTACTTCCTTACTTACCTCTTCTCCTGTCAAGTATGGTTTTGTGTTATCTTTGCTTATTATGTTTTGTACAGGCCACTTCTGCGATTGCCAAGTTTCTGGATGGTTATGACACTCAGTGGACTTCTAGGTCTTGCCATTAGCTTCACTTCAATGTGGTTTCTTCATCAAACCGGAGCTACAACATACAGGTAAACAAATTAGACAGTAAAATAAATTGCAACCTCAAACTTTGTGTCTTGCTTCTTTGGTTGGTTATTCTTATTGACATCTCCTTGTTTTACGCAATTTCGCAGCTTGGTGGGATCGTTAAACAAGATACCATTGTCTATTGCCGGGATCGTTCTTTTCAATGTACCTACAAGTTTGCAGAACTCTGCAAGCATACTCTTTGGTAAATACATTCTCTCTGTTCCATTGCCAAATTAAACACATATCTATCTTGTGCTTTGCATTGACTTGAGAGAGAGGGTTGTTTTATGTTCTTGCAGGTCTTGTTGCTGGAGTTGTTTTTGCTAGAGCCAAAATGAGGGAGAAGTCTTAAGAAACATGATTAAAAGCTTTCCCCAATTCAATTGTTTGTAGTGTAGAATTGGGTTTTACAACCTCACAAAATTTATTAAAGCAATCACCACATGACTCTATGAGTGGTGTTTAAGATTTTATAGTAAAAAATGAATGTATTAATTCTTGAGTAGTAATATGTGTTTCTTTGTTAGCAAGTTTTCTGTGAACAAACTATCAAAGAATGATCCAAATTCTTGAAATTTAGTGAAGGCCCATAAAAGCCCTAAAAGTCTTGAAGTTTTGTGACGTCCTATAAAAGCTCAAAGTAAAAAAAAAAAACGAGAAGAAGTTGATGATTTCGTCCCTTTTAACTCCGCTGATGTCGTCACCGGAAAAGCAGTCTCCGCCGCCGCAGTCGTGCACGTTTTTGTCGCTTCCATATGATATACAATTAACTTGCGTAGCACGCATCTCAAGGTTGTACTATCCGTCTCCAAGACCTTCCGATCTCTCCTTGCTTCACCGGAGCTTTACAAAGAACGGTCACGCTTAGGCCGAACCGAGAGTTGTCTTTATGTGAGGGTAAGGCACAATAGCGCTAGTCACTGGTACATTCTCTGCCGGAAACCTGACAAAACCCTAACTAATAGCATCAAGTCAGCTGGTTATGTTTTGGCTAGAGTTCCAGTTCCAGTTCCAGCCCCAGCTCACCTCACTCACGTGTCCGTTGGTTCTTGTATCTACAGCTTTTCTCGATGGGGATCATTGAGCGTCTCCGTTATGGATTGCCAGTCTCACATGTGGGCCGAGGCTCCAAGGTTCCCAGTTAACCTAGTTATACGTTCTGCTAGCGTCTTTGATCAAAAGATATATGTAGCAGCATTGGGACGCAACAAAGTCGGTGATTCCTTTCCGAACTATTTCGCAGTGTTCGACACGAAAACACAACATTTGGATCCTCTGCCTCTCCCTTGCACAGATAAAAACTTCTGTTTACGAGACTGCTATAGCGCATGTATTGACGGAAAGTTCTACGTGATGGCGGGTGACTCAGATGTGGCTGCTTACGATCCCAAGGAAGGCAGATGGGACCTAACTAGATCAAGAATGAGTAGGTTTATGTATGATGATTCTTATTGCGTGATAGGGAATGTTTTGTACAGTTTTTTCTTCGAAAAGTTGCAATGGTATGACAGTGAGGGACGTAACTGGAGAGATTTGCAGGGTTTGGTAGGACTACCTAAGTTACCTACTGCCCGTCATGTTACATTGGCTGATTATGGTGGAAAGATGGTGGTTTTGTGGAAGAATGAAACGACTTATGACGACGACATGTCTCACGGATGCTCTTTTTTTTTTTGGTCGTGCGTCTCACGGATGCTCTAGTGAAAAGATTTGGTGTGCCGAGATTGCGCTTGAAAGAAGCGAAAAAGGGGGTGAAATTTCGGGGAAAGTTGAGTGGTTTGATGTTGTGCTTACATCCCATGAGGAATGTCGTTTCATCAAGGCTGTTGCTGTTACTGTCTGATCAACGTGTCACTAGGCTTGGCTTGAACGTTTGTCAGTTTTGGTAATACTATAATTTTCTTTGGAATGATGTATGCAACTATGATATGATGCTTGAAAAAAAAAGTATCTTACGTGTCTTAATAACAACGGCGATCACTGTGGTGATTTTGAGCTTTACGGGTCTAATAAAACACTTTCGTTACCTCTTGGCATTGTTCTTTCTTTTGCTTTCAACGAGACAGATTATCTGTATACAACGTGAGTTACTTACTTCCTATCCTCTTCTCCTGTCAACTAGGAAGTGGTTTTGTGTTTTGTGCAGGCCACTTCTGCGATTGCCAAGTTTCTGGATGGTCATGACACTCAGTGGACTTCTTGGTCTTGCCATTAGCTTCACTTCAATGTGGTTTCTTCATCAAACCGGATCTACAACATACTAGTAAACAATCTAGACAATAAAAATGCAATTTCAAACTTGGTTTATCCTTATTGACATCTCCTTGTTTTACACGATTTCACGGTTTTTATATTGCTAAATCCGAAATAACCAAAACTGGAATAACCGGACCGAACCGAACTGAATAACCGAATGCCCAGGGAACGAACTATCCAAGAATGATCTAAATTCTTGAAATTTAGTGAAGGCCCATAAAAGCCCTAAAAGTCTTGCAATTTTGTGACGTCCGATAAAAGTTCAAAGTCAAACAAGTTACACTGCCAAAAAAGCAAAGTCAAAAAAAAAAAAAAAGTTGATTTCGTCCTTTAACTCCGCTGATGTCGTCCCCGAAAAAGGGAAAGAGTAAGAGGGAGGAGGAGCAGTCTCCGCCGCAGTCATGCACGTTTCTGTCGCTTCCCTATGATTTACTGTTAACTTGTGTAGCACGCATCTCAAGGTTGTACTATCCGTCTCTTTCTCTCGTCTCCAAGACCTTCCGATCTCTCCTTGATTCACCGGAGCTTTACAAAGAACGGTCACGCTTAGGCCAAACCGAGAGTTGTCTTTATGTGTGCGTAAGTCACACTAATGCTAATCGCTGGTACACCCTCCGGAAACTGTTGAATCCGAGATAGCACTCGTTAAGACGGGCTATCTTAGATGTGAGTTTAGGAAACTGGAACGCTTAATTCGACTCTTAGATTATCAAGAAGATTACAAGAGAGCAATCTCGCTAACAAGCCTAGCGAGATTATGATGGTGAACAAGAGGATAGAGTAAAAGCTAATGTGAAAGCCTAGTGATTCTAGATGATTTCGGATCCCTCTCCCAAGGGGGGTCTTCAATATATAGGTTGATAAGTCGGCCGAATGAGTATTCTCCTTCAGGCGAGATGGAAAACTTCCTCTTTTGCGATATGGAAAATCCCTCTTGTTTTTGGATCTTTCTCCATTCTTTAAGTCGGCATGAAGATTTATTTACATTTCTCCATGGATTGTGCCTTTCTCTTCAAGTCTTGCCTTTTTCTTGAAGATGTTAGGCCTAAAATCGGATTGGGCTTTGTACTTTACTAATGATGACGGGCTCAGGGAAATGTGCTAATTTCTCCTCTAACAATAAGTCCCCCCGCCAGCTCGGCAGGTCAAATGTAGTTTGATCTCGGCGAGCTTCATGAATAGAGGACGAGCTTGAGAATCATTAGTAAAATACATCACTTCAATCGGATCTTAGTGCCTAGGTGCATGCTGAATGTAGATTCGTGCCGCCTCATTAAAACCTTGGTACGGAAAAACCCAATTGGGACAAAAACCATAAAAAGGAAAAAGAGTACGTTGACGTCATCTAATTCTGCTTCGTAGAAATCAGTAATGGGTTTTAATCGGCCCATGATCCGGTTTTGGGTGAAATCGTTTGGGCGGGAACAGGAAAAAGTCTCGGAGAAGCCTTCTCTTCTAAGAATCGTGGAATTCTTATTTAAGGAAACGATTAGGATTTCCTAGGGTGCTTATTCCTTTTTCGTGATACCGATTTCACCAAGTGCCCTTCGAGGGAGAGCGAATATCCTTCGCTGCCCTGACCTGCATTTCCTTCCTTCTACCTTATTCTTTCGCGCTTTCGATGGTGCAAATCGAGACCAGTTCATCGATGTCGACGTCGGCCCTTGAGCATAATGCTGTCCCAAGGAGATTTGCGAGACGGTGGGTTTGGCGAAGGCGATGAACTCATCCGTTAAAGGGGAATCCGAGGTTCTAAACGGGGAATGCGGCGACCGTTCTTGCGAGGGATTCCGCACGAGGATACGGGATCCGATCCTGAGCTCGGTGAGGAGAAAGTCCCTGATTGCGCTAGGCTCGATGGTATCCCTCAAAAGATTGAGATGCCGTGGAGATCATCGTCAAGATCTCTGGCTCGGGATGGTCGATCGGGGATGACCGAAGATATAGTCATCGCTTTGCGGGAGAGGGTGGGAATCAGTGACGCGGTCAAGATTCTCGTTCCCTTACCTGACCAAAGGCCGATGGACGCTCCACCTGGATGGTTTTGCCTCTACGAATGCTTCCTCACGGAGTTTGGAATACGTTTTCCGGTCCTCCCGTTACTTCTCGAGTATGCGTATGAGCGGGGTGTAGCGTTGAGTCAGCTGACCCATGGTGTAGTGCGGCATATGGTCTTCTCGGACCGCTCTGGCGAAGGCAGCCGGGATGAAGCTAGACAGGGAGCTCTTTGAGCGTATAACTGATCTTCGTGCTGGGGTTAAGGAAGGAGGTTTCAAGCGTTTCCACACATCGATGAAACATGACATCGTTTTTGGTGATCATCGAACGAAGATTCATCACTGGACGCGCTACTACTTTTTTGTCAAGGTCGACCGTGCTTCGGTCGGGGATTTCGATCCTAGTCACGTCTTAACAAATGGGTCCAGGAGCCGGGTAAAGTGGTTGTGAATTCTTCCTTATTTTTACGGTTGCTTCGTATGCTAACTTACGCCCCCATTATCTGATATGCAGGAAGGATTGTCCCAAGGAAAGTAAATACTACTCTAAAGGAGAAGTTTAGAACTTTACGCGACTTGAGTAGAGAGACTTGGGCGGATGCGTTTGCCGAGACCGAAAGGAAGAAGAAGGAAAAGAAAGGAAAGGCTATTGCTATAGCGATTCCTCTCCCTGGTGAGTGTTTGATCATCGCCTTTGAATTTTTACGCCTGGTCCGGCTCTTAAATCGCGCTCCCTGATGTCTTCCAGATAAGTTGCCGGGTGTTGCTAGGAAGACAGGCTTAAGGAAAAGGGCTCCGGCTTTGGTGGATGATGATATCCTGATTTCTGATCCTTTATCCAAGCGGATGAGGTCAGATTCCTGCGAGCTAGGTGATCTTCCTCAGTCACTGGGGTCTCTTGGGGGCGTGTCACCAGTGGCGATTTCTCTTCTCGGACTGTCGCGGCTTCTACTGGTCAGGGCGGGGATATGAGTATCCTGGAGTCTGGAGGTGACGGGGTGACGGATTCCGTCGGGATAGACTCCGATGCTGTCTCCTTTAAGTGGAAAGGTGGTGCTCCTTTAATGGATAATGGCGACTTTAGTGGAGAGATGGTTTGGGGTTGCAAACCTAAGCCATGCTGGGGGGTTCCGCGTGGTGAGCTTGAGTTCAAGGGTGCTTTCGATGAGGCTTCTAATAATCTTATTAGAGCCGGAGGGAAGTTTGCTGCGTTGATTCAACTTTATGACGGAACGCTCAAGGGTGCTCGGAGCGGAGTTGATCAAATTAAAGCCGATTTGTTTGATAACTTTGATGGTGATGCGGCTGCAGTTAGGTTTCGAGAAGAAAGATTGCTTTTGAAAAGAAGATAGAAGCTCTGGCCTTGAGGTTGAAAATAATCAACTTCGGGACAAAATTACGCAACTGGAGGATAAAGCCTGCGGGACGGAAAACTCGATTGCCGAGATGGCTCGTCTTCGCAAGTCTCGGACGAAGTGGGCTGAGTTGACGGCTGCTCAGGTGTACGAATCAATGCATAATTGGTATACTCCGAGGTTGGACCGTATAGGTAGATACGTCAGTCAGCGGGATGCAGTGGAGAAGGCGGTGATTAGGATTCAAGTCGACGAGGCTCTTCTTTCCTATGTCAGGAAAATAAAGGGGGTCGAGCAGGACTTTGATGCGGTGGAGAAGATGCTTGCGGCCCGGTTGCGGGAGAGTAAGGCCGCCGGAGATTTGGTTGAGGATGACGAAGTTGAAGCTGATGACTATGCTCCGCCCTAAGGTTAGATCTTCGTTTTCGTCTTGCTGAATTTTGCTTTGATAGCGCATGGATTGTTCCACGGAATTTTGATCAATATGGGTCAATATATCGAACTTTCAGGCCTACCCTAGCTGAGCTGGCGTTTCCGGGATCCCCATCGCGCGTCATCAATCGAAGTAGCTGAAGTCGAAATTGTCTTTCTTTTTTCTCTTTTGATAGTTTCCCAGTTGCTTTTATCGCGACAATTGCCCGGGAGGGCTTTTATCCTTAAACTTTGGGTTTAGTTTTGGACGTTATGTGGTGTTTTATTTGCTGCTTTGTTGGCGAAACAAATTGGCTTAGACATAGTTGATAATTTCACAGCGCGATGAAAGAACCCAGCTTTAGGCCATGTCTTTTAATGAGAAACAATGCGCCTTCAATCGGTTGGGGTAGGCTAGTTTATTCGATCGTCATCGGGTAAACGGCTTACCTATGCCGAGATGGCTTGTTAATCTCAAGTGTGTCGAACGAGTGCTTTCGTTTGACGGTGCGGATGCGTCGTGATGTTCTTCGAAGCTTTCGTAGTCTGTCACGACTCTCATTCGAGACACCGACCGATGCGTATTAGGTCTGAGGTGCTGTGATTCGGTAGATCACATGTTTTGGCGACGAGGTCTAGGGGCTCGATTTATGCCTACGACTTTTAAGTCCGATACGCGTGACAGATAGCGGTTTTTTCTTGCCCGTATGGCTTAGAGCCGTGCGAGGTGCTTGCTCTCGTCTTTTGTGGGTGATCAGTCCACGGGTGCTGCGTTTAAGTGCATCCGAGCGTTGGGCCAGAACGTCGGTGTGTTGCGTTATTTCGGAATTATGCTTTGCGTGCGGTGCTTGCGTTGCCGATGTCTTCGGTAGGAAACTCAGTTACCGGTTGAGGGCAGAAGTCGTTACTTCTGGGTCCTTGCCGAGACGGGAACCCTTCCGAAGAGGTTCGATAAGAAGTGCTTGCATAAAAATAAAAGAGCTATTTATTTTTATTAATTTATAGCTGTGCCTTTATCGAGAAAGACTGCCTACGTACCCATGCCGGGATCAAGCCAATCGTAGTTCATTACAAATGTTCATGTCATGGACATGTCTTTTTTTTTTTTTTTTTTTTTTTGTGCGGTGCGACGCGTCTAGGTGTAGAACCTGCGTAGGTTCATGGAGTTCCATGGACGAGGCAATGGGTTTCCGTGACAATCGTCCAGCTCGTAGACCCCGGGTTTGATGATCTTGGTGATGCGAAACGGTCCTTCCCAATGGAACCCGAATTTGCCTGCGTGCTCGGGTTTGGTAAAGTCGTGGACCTTCTTAGATACAAGGTCGTAGAGCTCGAAGCGCCGGTTTCGCACCTTCCTGTCGTAATATCTGGTTGCTTGTTGTTGGTAGTTTTGCATACGCAGGAGGGCGCGATCCCGTAGCTCTTCGGTGTGGTCTAAACTATGCAGGAGTGAGTCGTCGTTCAATGCCGGGTTGAGGGGCATTAACGATCGTCGTAAGCTGGCTACGTGCAGTTCTGCCGGTGCTAGTGCTTCGCAACCGTGCGACAAAGAGAATGGGGTTTCCCCGGATGCGGTTCTGGGGTGGTTCGATGCGACCAGAGCACTCCATCCAATTCGTCCGCCCAAGCTCCTTGGTAGCCTTCAAGCCTTTTTTTCAATCCATCAACAATAGTTTTGTTTGTGGACTCGGCTTGTCCATTAGCTTGAGGATATCTTGGCGTGGAGTAAGTGATCTTGATGTTCCACGATGCGCAAAATTCTCGGAAAGTTGCTGCGACGAATTGTCCTCCGTTGTCCGTGACGATCTCATAAGGAAGACCGTGACGGCATATGATATACTGCCACACAAAGTTTCTTACGTCATGAGCCGTTGGGTTTTTGTACGCTTTTGCTTCTACCCACTTAGTAAAGTAGTCGGTGACGACCAAGAGGTAAGCGCATTGCCGTGAGCGTGGCATGGGGCCGACGATATCCATTCCCCAGCGCATAAAGGGATATGCCGGGATCGCAGCTTGAAGTGCTTGCGTTGGGGCGTTGATCGCCGGTGCGTATCTTTGGCAGGGGACGCATTTGGCGGCGACGTTTATGCAATCGCCGATCATCGTTGGCCAGAAGTATCCGATCTTCTTAATTTTTAAAGCGAGTGATCTTCCGCCGGCGTGGTTTCCTGATGCTCCCTCGTGGGTCTCGACCATGATGCTCTTAGCTTGTGCTTCGTCGCAGCATCGCAGGATGACTTTGTTTGCGCTCCAGCGAAAAAGCTCGTTGTTGCGTAAGAAGTAGTAAGCTGCTTTTCGTCGGAGGCGGCGGGCCGCCCATCTCTCCTCTGGCACGGCGTCGTTGATGAGGTAATTTCTGATTTCATCCTGCCATGATTTGTGTTCTGCTGACTCGTCATCAGTGAGGTTTTCGTCTTCTTCTTCTTCTTGCGAGATTGCCATGACGACGGTTCCCTTGGGGAGTTTGATGCTTGGTTCGTCGATGGTTTCGACCGGGATGACCCGTCGCAGTGCTGATTCGGTTTTTGACGCCAAGGCTGCGAGTGCGTCGGCTTCGGAATTCTCGGAACGGGGGATCTTTGTCAACTCGAACGTCTTGAATGCTTTGGCAAGTCTTTGCGTCTGTTTGAGATACGCATCCATGCGATCGTCTTTCGTGTCGTAGTCACCGCTGAATTGTTTAGCGACGAGCTGAGAGTCGCAGAACGCACGAACGTGTTCTGCTCCGACTGCTTCGGCGAGACGGAAGTCCGGCAATAATCGCTTCATACTCGGCTTCGTTGTTGGACGCTGGGAAACCGAGTTTGATCGATTGCTCGAGAATCTCGCCTGTCGGGGAGACGAGGCGGATGCCGACGCCTGCTCCTTGCCTGGAGGACGATCCGTCGACATGCAGTGTCCATTTGAGGATTTGCTCGTCCTCTTGAGTTGCGAGCTCTGGTGGGATTTCTACGATGAAATCGGCTAGGACTTGTGACTTGGCGCTCGTCCGGCTTTTGAACTC